TCCCATTTGAGAGAGGTTTTTTGGAGTATGTTGCATACAGATAGTTTCTCCCACTCTCCACCCACCAGTATAGCCTGTACCCACGAGCTCTTACCCATTAATGCCATTCTCTCCATGCTTTCTTCCTGGGCTGTACATATCTACTCATATTCTCCCAATGATCCACTCTCCGTTCAGTGGCCTGAGCTATCTTCAAAGACACATATCAAATGACGTCACTCCACTTTAAGGCACTGAACAATCCAGCATTCTACCCTCTCTCCAGCTGGGTGCCTTCTACCCACCATTCTCTGCTCCTCATGCTCATCCTTCATATGGCCAGGACCTTCTTGTCACTCACCTCAGCTAAACATTACCTACTGAAGGTGGCTTTCTCTAACCCTTCCAAACACATCCCCCCCATTGACTGTTCATAGTCCTTATCTGATATCTTCATGTTTAGTTACTTCCATCCTGTCTGGTTCTTCTACCCCACTTTCTGTAAAACAAAAGCTCTATGGAATAGATTCTCTGTCTCTCTTTCTCCATGGTATAGACAGTGCCTGACTCAGAGAAAGCAGCTAAGTAACTGCTGACTGGGGAGGAAATGGGTCTTTCTGGGCATTCATCCTTTCCACGAGCAGTTAGTGAAAACACGCAGCATTTTGAGCTTCACAGAGCATTAGTAGTGTCCTTGAGTACACCAGAGACCGTGTCCCACTGAATTCTCAATTCACAGTGTCTCACACAGAATCTGCATCCAGGACTCATTAGACTTCTTAAATGAAGAAATGTGAGCTTGTTTTATCACCCTGTATCCTCTCTGCCCACTATACCATCAGCTTTCAAAAACACAAGTTGACTATTATGGAGTACTAAAGATAACATGCTCCCTGATCTGCACAAGCTTAGGGTTGGTGGGGTCCAGAGGGCTGACACGTAAGTGGGCAATTGGAGAGTAACAGCAAGTATGTGACCCTACCACACAAAGTAACGGGCACTTCAAAGCAAGGGTAGTATCACTACAGGGAGGCCAGACATTCCTTAATGGCTGTATGTTTTCAACTGGGCCTTTAAGGAAACAGAATTGGGACTCTTGGGGAGAAGAGGGGAGGTATGCCAAGCAGATGATCACCACCAGCAAAGGCACCACATGGGGTGAGCAAGCAGACGCAGGGCACGGGAGAGACAGCCCTGTCTGGAACAGAAGAACTGTGTCTGCAAGAAGCAATGGATGGACTGAGTAGGTAATATGGTATGGTCATACTAGATTATCACTAGTAATCCTTGTACTGGTATCAAGGTTTCACTCTTCCACTTCTAGTTCATTACATTTTATTAGTGAATTTGTCACAATGAACTTATAATTGTACAGACCAACGTTTATCAGTCTCTGGGTCAAGTTACCACAGTTGGCACTTCAAACCTTCACAGTTGCTGTGCAGATGAGTAGTCTGAGGCTCAGACAGGTTAAGATACTCATCCAAGGCAAGACTTGTTCAATAGCAGACAAGACCATCTCATCTAGTACTGTTCAACAATGCTAAAGCTCATGCTTATTCTCTAAAAGAAGAGACAAAATACTGAGGTAGGAGCTGTGAGCTCCACTGGTGGCACATGGATCTAAGGATCTGGACATGGTGGGATGAGCAGAGACTGAAAGAGGCTCCAGGAGGAGATAGGACCTGAACGTGACTCTTAAAAGATGAGTAACAACTGGATAGACAGAGAGAAGGGATGAAAAGATCAGGAGAGGAAACTGGCTGCTGGCTGGATGACTTCAGGGGCAAAGGAGGCTAGCCTGGCTTCTTCTCAAAGTTCTTACTGGGATTAATGGATAAAAATGATGAAAATTGTGTGGCTGGGGCATGTTCCAAACTGAGAAATCTGTGTATCAGCCTATAGGACGTGGGGAATTCTTAACATGGGACAATGAGGAGAATCTACGTTTCAGAAAGGTGAATGGGCATGGGCAACCGGGATGAGTGGCCTGTGAAGAACATTCACGTGATGAGACAACAGATAGGAGACCCTTTCAGAACTCCAGGTGATAAGTTTCTGACCTGGTAATTGCAAGGACTGGAAGAGGAAACTTTTGAAACATTTCAAAGATGAATAGGCTTTGATAGCTATTTCCAAAGCATCCATGTGCCTGCCTCAAGTACAGAATTGGTCTCTTCCTATTCTAATTATTTCTGTGTTTGGCTCCTCATATCAGAGACTGTAAGCATCTAAAAATCACCATCCAAATCTTCTGTTTTATCCTGAGTGTCCGGCATACACAGGAGGACCTCAGTAAATGTTTGCCGAACACTTGAAGGCACAGTGAAAGAGGACATTCAGGCTTTAAGCCTGGTAATAAGAGACAGGTGCCACAAGGGCAAAGAAGAATGCTGGGAAATAAATCTCCATCTAGGCTGGGCATGGTGGCTCATGCCTATAACCCCAGCAGTTTGGGAGGCCAAGACAGTTAGATCATGAGGTCAGGAGCTCGAGCCCAGCCTGACCAACATGGTGAAACCCTGTCTCTATCAAAAATACAAAAATTAGCCGGGCATGGTGGCATGCACCTGTAATCTCAGTTACTCAGGAGGCTGAGGCAGGAGAATCCTTGAACCCAGGAGGCAGAGGTTGCAGTGAGCCAAGATCGAGCCACTGCACTCCAGCCTGGGCAAGAGCGAGCTCTGTCTCCAAAAAAAAAAAAAAAAAAAAAAAAAAAAAAAAAAAAAAGATGGGTTCGGTTTGGGAATGTTCCTTCTGACAGGTTCAGAAAAGATGACAGAAAAACAAAATGTCCAAACCTACTCAGGGGAGCTGCTTACTGGTAGATGCCACTGATATTTGGAATCTATACTTTCCTTTGTTATGGAAGGGCTGAAAGAGTGGGCTCTATGTATCTTAAGTCATTTGCGTTGCATTGATCAGAAATCCTTCAATCGTATTGGAATGCCCAATGTCCTTTTCCTCTTTTATACAAAAATCAAAGTAAAGCCTGACACAATTTCTTTGGAATTAACTAGTCTTTGTAGAAAACAGGCACACTAAAACTGTATGCTGATGAAGAGGGGCATCAGACAGTAGAGGAGAGGCATGCTCCTGTCTTGGCTCCACCGCTTATTACTGCATAACAGGCAGCTTATTAATCACTCTGTGCCTCCTGGTCCTCATGGAGGTGTTGTGAGAACTAAGTAAGTAAATACACAAGTGCTCACCCAGAACAGTCTGGCATACTGAAATTGTGGAAGGAATGTTGTTGCTATTAATCTTTAAACATTTTGGAAAGTAGATACCGAGTGCAGTGGCTCGATCTCAGCTCACTGCAACCTCCGCCTATTTTAGACTGAAAGCTAGTTATTACAGAACAAAACTAGAAGCTACGAATCCATAATGACAAATTTCAAATTCTTACAATAAATTAACTTCCAATAACTATAATTTGCTTAATTTAGTAACAGCCATTTGGCATTAAAACAGATATTCATAGTACAAAACTGACATATATGAAATGAGTAAACTGACAGTGGATGTTTTTTGACTAAACTTTAGAGAATACATGTTAAAGATATCTCAACCTGTGTTTCCTTTTATGCAGTCTATGGAATCCTTCAGATTTTCCCTGAAAACCCTGTGTTTTTTCCCACCTCCATGGCCTTTATCCTCACTAGTTCCTTCTAATCCATCTGGGCTTTCTCTCAGGCGTATTTCTAGGCCTACTTACAAAAGCACCTCTTTACTTAGTTTAGCTGATCTCTCATTTGATCCTGTCTCTGCCTCAACGATGCAATACATTTCTAACAGTGCGTCCACTATGGTCCTTACAAAGGTAAACAACTAGGATATAGCGTCACTTACATGGCAGGGCTCATGCTTCCTGGCTCTTTGTGTTCCCACAGCCAAGCACACACTGTCATTGAACTGAATTACAAAAACTTTGCCTTTAGAAAAAGATTACTCACAGGGTTACTTTAATCTCCACTTCCCTTAATGCCCTTGAAACAGGATCAATAATACTCATCCAATTTCTGTGAAGCACATCTACCTTTTTATTACACTTTGAGGGAAAACTACACCCAAACAGACATTAAATTAAAATTTTCCAATAAAGTAGAAAGGGACTCAAGATTGCAACATTATGTCTTACTAAATCTCTAACCTGCCGGTTTGCCCCATGGATTTTGGACTTGCCAGCCCCCACAACTGCATCAGCCAATTCCTTAAAATAAATCTTTCTCTCTATCCAAGATGATGTGACTCTTTGGTTTAAAAGTTTGTTCATGAGTGCTGTTCCTTTCTTAAAGAAATAATTCTGCTCTGTGATACTTTAATTAGTTGCTAACGACATTAATTATGTTACTGAATCATGAAGAGATGCCTAATTGTTGGGTTCAACCTGGGAGTCAGGAACTCAAGTTCTAGTTTTCAAAGGACATAGCAATTTATCTTCCTATAAAAATAGACATAAAAATGCCAACAGGTAGGTGGTTTCTTATAGTGGTGATAAAAATATTCTAAATTTAGATTATGGCAATGGTTATATAATTCTATTACTACACTAAAACCATTAAACGGTAGAGACTAAATGGGCAGATTTTATGGTATATAAATTATATCTTAAAGATGTTTCAGAAAAGGGAACAAAAGAGATTTGATGTCTCAGGTTCATTTACCTAAGGAGAAACTAAGGAAAAAAAATTAATTTTAACGTTTCATTATTCTTCTGTATTTACCCATACGTCAGTTTGCATAACCCCTATTATTGAGGTATTAAATAACAGGAGTAAATGTAAACTTTATGCAAATCTTATAAACATGCAGACTTAAAAGCAAAAGTAGGTGATGATCATATATGCTACAAAGGGATGAGTCATGAGATGCCTTTAAATAAGGCTCATATTACACAAACATACTGAAAAGTAATGACAACTCACTAATCACTTTTCAGAAACCCGTTCAACATTCAGAGCAAGAATTATGAACACATTAAAAAAACTTCTCCCATAAGGAATGTAAGGACTATTTACCTTGTGATAAGGAACCAAGCAATTCTACTAAAGTCTGGAGAAGGCCTCATATATGTCTTAATATGCGGCATGGCCCTGCTGCGGCCAGAAGTCTCAGCTGACCATTTGCTAGTGACAGAAAAGACACAAGTCACTCATTACAAAATATTACAAATTGTTCATAATCCTAACATTAGGAAGTAGCATGAAAAGAAAAAGCCTACTATCTAAAAATCAACTGTGGATACATGACTCTGACCTATTGGTATTTTATGAGACTCTGTTCAAATAACGCATGCCCATTTTAGAATTATAAACTTCCCACCTCCCACAAGAAGCACTGTAACCTTTTAGCATATAGCCTTTCCATTTTTGCCATGAACATACATACACGCATATATTATTTCTGTTGTGCTTTTAACAGCATGTATGCACATGTACCCTGGCTTAACTGTGAGCTCCATAAAGGGAATAATCATGCTCCCATGGTATGAGTAGGGGCTCAGCAAAAGCTTGTTGAATGAGACAAAACACAAAATAGGCACAATAAAAACAGTATATGAAGAAAATGAATGTTGAAAAGCAGGGGCAGGAGTCAGGAATACTTTTGTCAAATGCTGACATTCACAAATCTGAGTTTGGTTTCTGTTTCCAATATTGCAGACTATGGTTCTATGGGAACCTATATCATGAGGCAACAAGCCTTACTTATAAGAGGATGGTCCCTCCAGATTAACAGATCATCTGTGAACAGAATCAGCATCACTGCCTTCATTCGAGTGAATCTAATAATATAATACTGAAAGGAATTCAATATAAAGACATGTCCTCTATAAGGAAAAAGCTCTCAAGAAAGCACTAAAGAAAAGCTCCAGCCAGGCACGGTGGCTCACACCTGTAATTCTAACATTTTGTGAGGCTAAGGCAGGAGGATCACCTGAGGTCAGGAGTTCGAGACCAGCCTGACCAACATGGAGAAATCCTGTCTCTACTAAAAATACAAAATTAACTGGGTGTGGTGGTGCATGCCTGTAATCCCAGCTATTCGGGAGGCTAAGGCAGGAGAACTGCCTGAACTCAAGAGGTGGAGGTTGCGGTGAGCCAAGCTTGCAGCACTGCATTCCAGCCTGGGCAACAAGAGCGAAACTCCGGAAGAAGAAAGAAGAAAGAAGAAAGAAGGAAGAAAGAAGAAAGAAGAAAGAAGAGCTCCAGGAAAACACACTGAATTATAGTTGAAAGCTATAATTCAAAGTAATTCTACTTTCATTTCTGGCTAACCAGCTCGCCAAACACCTGTTAAGGCAAGCATGAAACAGACTGGCCTAGCATATGCAGGCTGTAGTATATGAAAAAACAGACTGGCCTAGCATATGCAGGGTGAAGGACATTCCTTTCACTTGTCCACTTCGCATTTATTGAACTCTGACAACATGCCAGATACTGTCCTGTGTCCTCAGGAGACAACAGCATAGGATCTGCCCTCACCAAGCTTGCAGCCACACGTGATGGTATAGACAGAATAATGATCCTTTATATTTTGGAAAAATGGACTAAAATGCTGCTTATGTAAATTCTAAACTACCCAACATGATCTTTTATTTGTCTTTCTTGGCATGCCAATATTTAAATAGAAACCTCACAGCAATAAATTTTCCTCTTTGGTATTAAAAACCTATCCAAAAAAAAATTTCAAAACCTTGTTTTAAATTATTTCCATCACCAACATATGTAGATGAAAGAATATAGCTATATTACATAAAGTTCCTTAAAAAAAAAAAAAAACCAGTGACATAAATAACATTCTAATTCCTAAAGAAGCAATAGCAGCAGTCTAAACCAATTACTTACTGAAAATAGGAATGCAGCCAATTCTGTTTTTCAGCTGTCTGGATGCTATAGGGAAGAGAGCCCCCAGCTTTTAAAAGAAAAATAAAACAATAAAAATTATGAAATAGAATTTGAGGATCCTTCATTAAGAGGAAAATATATAATAAACAGCAAGAAGATAACAGGAAAAAACTACTTCCATTACTTTACTTTATGGAATAGTTACTTGAAAGAAAATGTCTATACTTGCATTAGGTATGTTCTCTTAATGAGTTTCCTTCCTTAGGTATGATAAATGTTTACCAGTAAACTTTGTACTGGCTGAACAGATTCTGACACACAGAAAATAATGGCTAAAAAACAAATTAAAATTCAGTAAACAGTTCAGTTTGAAAAAGAATTTCTAAAAGCCTTATTCTTGCAAAGAGAACAAAGAAAGTTCCAAGTGGAAATGCAACTGAAGTCAATGCTTGCTCATCTTTGAAAGGAAGAAAACTCCATTGTGGATTCATCAGTGACTTTCCAAACACATGCTGGAACTTCACAGTGATCTATATCCAAAGAGATCTATATCCAAACATCACTGACATATCAAATAGGGAATGTCCTGTCTTCAACTGCAAATAACTAAAAACATTCCATTTCAAAGCCAGTTATAAAATACCTTTGTTAAAAGTACCATGTTGTTCCCCATTAAGAGTACACTTTGAATGAATCTAGCCTATTAGAGGCACAAAAAGAGGACCAAAGAAAAATGACCACTGTATCCCAGGGTCTCGGTGAAGTAAGCAACTTTGGTTTTGCCATTCAAAAGCAAATACATCCCAAACTCTATCGAGATTTTTCTGGCAGATGTTTCTTATTGAGCCTGATAAGCAATAAATGAAATAAATTAGTCTAATTCGGTACACTCTGCTTTCAGTCATCAGCAAATGCCAATTACACTTTGCTTTCTCTAGAGGCAACCACTATTTGGGTTTTCAGTTAATACCTCCTGATTACACTATCTACAGTGCTGCTGAATTCCAAATAAAGGTTTAGTGCCTGGTATGGGTATAAGGAAAAGGAAGAACCAGGCTGACAGATACCTACAAAAAATCTTACGCATTTGCAGATGAAGCCCTTGAAAGAACAGACATATCAACAAAGTTATATCAAAGGTAAAAATTTAAAAATTTCAGACCCTAGATATATCTGTATCAGGCATTTAAAAGGACCACGTGCTACCTCAAACACAGGAAGTGGAGAGAGATGAGAGGAAGGTATGTCAGATAAGCTCTGAAAAGGGAAGCTGGCTTTATTTGACTATCTTGTCTGGATGACCAACCTGCTGGTTACTTTACTGGTAAAAATGAGAACCAGTATGTAGAGGGTTTCTGTGAGGATTAATAACACACCCAAACTGAGAGGTATCATCTATGGAACACAGAGCTTGATATACTGCCTATTTTTATGATCCATATATAGTTAAGTGAAAACCATCTCCAAATTTCTAACCAATACTGGTAAAATTTTACCAGGACATTCATGAAATATACATAAAACACATCTGAGACAGTCTCCCCAAGAATTACCAGGATATCCTTCTAAACTGGTCCGCACATTTTCCACAGAAGGATAGATCTAAAAATAGAAGAAAAACAATACAACTTGGAATATACCATGTTGGAGAAAAAGAATGATAATCAGCGTTTAAGAAATTGAAAATCTCAGTTAAAAATACTTTTAAATTTGAAAATATCCTTTAAATTGTAAAATGTTTTCATCTTATAAAAAATAAACTAGTAATTAAACAACAGATATTTGATGAAAAATTGTACTTCAGTTTACATATTTTTTCCTTGAAATATCAAGCTAACATTGAATGAAAAATTAATGATTAATTCACAAGTCTCTAAATAATTACAATGCTCATAATTCTGCTGGCTATGCTACATAAAATATTTTCTTCCTTGGCTCAACAACCTGAAAGAAAGGATAGAAAAATCACAGGCCAATCTGTGTCTGTAATGGAGCTCCTGGACCAATCAGCAAGCTCTTAGCACTAAATGGTATTGAGGCAATTTGATTACAAATGATGATGCTAATGTACCGCTCTTTCCACACCCCTATGCCCCCCAAAAAGAATCACAGAATAAAACATCTCTCCATTACAAAGAGGATCAATTTTCAATTCTTCTGTGTAGAGAATAAATTACCTCAACGAGGACAAGCACTTACCAAGTAAAGAGGAACAGAGCTTTTTCCTGGAGTCTTGCTTTCCTTCCCCAGTGTCAGCATGCTCTCTTTAAACTCAGAACATAACCACTTTGATTCATCAGCTCCCAAAGAGCCAATGCTTGAAAACTGGCCTACTACGGGCCAGGTCTCTGCGTTAGGTATGGAGGAGGCATGGTCTTTCAGAAGCTGGGAAAGAATAAAAGTGAATGCTAAAGTGACTCAAATAATCTTAACAGAAATGCTGTAATGCCTGAAAAACAGTTTTCTGCTCTTGGAATGCCTAATTAACAAGAAAAGCTGAAAATACTAGTGATCAATTTCATACCCACATACACACATTTTTCTTCTTTGGGAAAAAATTTTTTAAATACTAAAAACATATTTTTAATGGAGTAGATGGACAGATGTTCTCCTTTTGAAAATTCTTTGATTTGTACTAAAAGTAAAAACAGATTTAAGGAGTTTAAAAGGCCCATTTCAGTAGAAATGTCAGATAAGCCACCGACTTGTCATATGGAATTAGATTTCTTACTTGAAATCATAATTGTTTGATGCACCTTTGATACTGTGAAATATGTATTTGGTCTTCATCCCTGCTTCCTGGCATTCAACTACTAAAATCCTTGGGATCTCCAATGTGTGTCTTTCTGTATGTTAATGAGACTGATGGTTGGCAGACCCTAGGCAACCTCAGGATTGGGGTTGGTCATGAGAAAGACCAAGGCATGACCAAACGTCACAACACCCCAACCTCCAGAGATAGGAGGGGCTAAATGTTGAGTTGATCACCAATGGCCAGTGATGTAGTCAGCCATGCCTATGTAATGAAGCCTCTATTAAAAAACCAAAAGGACAGGGTTGAGGGAGCTTCCTGACAGCTAACACCTGCAGGCTCTTGGAGAGTCGTGGTGCACCCAGAGAGGGCATGAAAGCTCTGTGCCCCTTTCCCATACCTTGCTCTATGCATCTCTTCATCTGTATCCTTCATAAGAAACCAGTAAACATTAAGTACGTGTTTCCCCAAGCCCCTCAGTGAGCTGCTGTAGCAAATTAATCAAACCCAAAGAGAGGGTCATGGGAACCTCAACTTGAAGCTGGTCAGTCAGAAGTTCTAGAGGCCCAGACTTGCAACTGGTGTCTCAGGGAGAGGGGCAGTCTTGTGGGACGGAGTCCTCAATCTGTGGGATCTGAGGCTATCTCTGCAACTGAGTACCCCCGTATTTCTTTAAAAAACAGTATTTTTTCAATTATTTTTTTCTTATTTTTCTCTTTCCTCCATTCCCCCCAACTCCGTCCCCACTTTCTAGTTAGCCCTTTAGAAATGCAATTACAACCTTTTATTCTTCCTTCACCAGACACTCCCTACAGGGCAAGTTCATCTAACTATGTGCTTAGAAGCTCCAGAGCAGAACTTTCTCCCACTAGGGGACTGTCTCCAGGGACAGCAGTCAATTTACAACCCAAAGTATGCCCACTACGAAACTCTCCCACCTGGAGAGTTTCCGCCAGCTTTACAACCTAGTTCTGCCCAGAAGAGATCAAATGGATTGCCTGGTAAAGAAGGCAGAAAGTAAGAAAGTATCCACCTGCTTGCTTCCTCCCCTACGTGCCACTCATGCTAGGGCCCCACTTTAAAAGTGTCTACTTTCCGCTCCAAGAGCAAAGCAGTACCCCTTTAGACAAAAAGCCTGTGCTTACTCCTCTAAGCTAGCTTTGGAATAAAAAGTCACTTTCTTTATACCAGACCTTGCACTTGCTAAATTGACTCTACCAGCAGTGACCAAATGAACCTGCGTTTCAGTTACATCTCCAAGAAGATAGCATAAGAACTGAAGTGAATTAGAGGACACCCAGCTGGTGTCCCCTGCTTAGTCTATGAGGAAAGTTCCACACATATTTGGTCACAGAAGTTTTCTGTGCTGACTGTTGTGGTGTCAGAGCAGGGGAAACAAAGTGAGTTTTTGGCTAACAACACTTAAACAATACCTAGAAGGTCAAACTATTACATATTTTGAATCGTATCATGTGAAAGAGGCTTAACATTCATAATTCACAGTTTAACACTTGAGCTCCAGGCAGTTGTGATGGTGTAGACGTAAAAGAAAATAAATTTACGTACATATACAAGCTAAAGCACTGGAGAAGACTGATCTGCATTTCCTGCTTTGACAGTTATGCAAAGCTGCGGAAACAATTCAGAAAATATTTTGAAACTATATCCACTTAAATATGTACTGGAAGCCTACCTAGAGGGTTGGAGAGAACAGAAAAATAAACTGTAGCTCCTGCCCCAGTGGAGCTCATATTCTGACTGATGTTTTGTATAATTAAATATGTATTATTTTCCTTAACACAGCTTAGGCACTAATATTAACACATACACTTCCCAAAAATCCCAAAGTTTCCATTTCCATCTTGGGTGCAGCATAGTGTAGAAAACAGAGCCGGACCGACAACTTATAATACCCAGTTTCTACTGCAGTGCTCAGCCCCTAAAGGGCCACCCTATTCCGGGCAAGTCTCCGGCTTAGATTTACACTTTGGTGGAAACAGGCACCTAATCACTGGCCTGCCTTCCTGGATGAAAGCCGTGGTACAGCATGAGAAACTGTGTAAAAAGTGGATTGAAAGCCTGTAATCCCAGCACTTTGGGAGGCCGAGGCGGGTGGATCACGAGGGCAAGAGATCGAGACCATCCTGGTCAACATGGTGAAACCCCGTCTCTACTAAAAATACAAAATATTAGCTGGGCATGGTGGTGCGTGCCTGTAGTCCCAGCTACTCAGGAGGCTGAGGCAGGAGAATTGCTTGAACCCAGGAGGCGGAGGTTGCGGTGAGCCGAGATCGCGCCATTGCACTCCAGCCTGGGTAACAAGAGCGAAACTCCCGTCTCAAAAAAAAAAACAAAAACAACAAAAAAAAGTGGATTGAAAACTTCTTACAGTTGAACTTTCGGTATCAGATGGTGATCACACACAATACGTGCATTATCTAGCCCAGGCGTCCCCAAACTTTTTACACAGGGTGCCAGTTCACTGTCCCTCAGACCACTGGAGGGCCGCCACATACTGTGCTCCTTTCACTGACCACCAATGAAAGAGGTGCCCCTTCCTGAAGTGCGGCGGAGGGCCGGATAAATGACCTCAGGGGGCTGCATGCCGCGGGCTGTAGTTTGGGGACGCCTGATCTAGCCTATCGAAACCAGTAGACATTAGTCCACAAACAACTGTGTATGCATACTGAAGTCTTATTACCATGTGCCTTGTACTGTTTTACATTCATCATTTTATTTAATCCTCAAAATCATGGGAGAAAAATACTATTACTGTGTCCACTTTATAGATGACAAGCAACGTAAGTTAAGGAACAAGTCAAGGTCACATGGCTTGTAGATAACAGAGTGGTATTTGAACCTAGCTATGGGTATCTGCCTCCAAGGCTGGGCACAGGCCAATGTGCTCAACTTACTCTCTAGGACAAGACCTAAGATGTCTTCAAGATCTTGCCTGCTTTAAGCTGCGGTTCATTTCATAAAAAGAAATTTAAATAAAAAATTGCATTAACTAAGGGAAAATTCTTACATACACAGTTTATGGAGCAAGAGGTTAAGATTTTTAAGAAAGCCACTTTAGAGAATTTATTAAGGTCAGGAAACCACCTAAAAAAGATGAAAAAAAACTTTAATCTTGAATTTGTTTTATTTTATGACCTTTCTTTGTTCATTTTCATATCAGCAGCAAGTATCATTTTTGTAATTAGTTTTCTTAAGGGCACTGGTTTAATAATCAAAATATATTGTAGCTCAATTATAGTCTATTCAAAAACATTTTGTTTGAATTTATATCTTAAAACTTGATACGCTAAATAATCAAAAGCTATAATCAAAGCTACAAAATGTGTATAAATAGGAAACCTCTATCTTTCTTGCAATATGAAAACTAGAAAGGGTTTATATATTTATGTCATTTAGAAAAGCCTACAGCTATAAAAGAGAGAAAACACATTAAAGAGCAGTAATTACTAAGAACTATAATTATCAATTTATCAAATCTATTCGCCCAGAATTGTGCAGAAATATTGTGAAGCTGCATCAAAATATAAAATTATTTTAAAATAGAGAATATACATTAAATTTTAAAAAATGTTAAAACAGTAAAAGTTCAGTTACCTTCCTAAGTCTAAAATGTCCCCAATTATCTTTTTGACTTCCTTGAAAGCGTCCAGGGGTTGAACCAATAAGATAAACACTATAAAGATATAAAAACACAAGTTGTAAAATACAGTGATGTGTTTTGGGCATCAAAAAAGGAAAATCACAAAATACACATGGAAAAACTGATATAATGATGAAACAATCTGAGAGCCAATCTATTTTCTTGAATGATTCTCAAACTCATTTTCAAACAAACCAGCTAATGATGGAACATCTACAAGACGTAAAGTACCAGGCAAAGAACTCATTAATTTTAAGAGTACCCCAGTGGGAGGTTTAAGGTAAACATGAAGATCCACTGGTTGCCACCTTAATGCCTGAGAATCACGAGATACAGAAATGACAGAATCTGCTCATCCCCTCATCACGTCCTGAAGCTTGGCTAGATTTCACCCCACCTCTTTCCAAGCCCCTGTATTCCAGACCTCATGAGGCTCTTGGGATATGAGCCTATTATAAACACCCCAAAGTGGTAAGCTGGCACGTACTTTGTTTCAGAGAGATCGTGCTTATGGATGACATCTATCCACTCCTTGAGAGAAGGGGCATTATAAGCCATCAAGTAACTGATGAGATCAGCTTTAAAATGTGTTGTCGATTCTCCAGATTTGTGGGTTCCATCAACAATTCGTGGGTATAAGGGGCTCAACCATATTCTGGAATTAAAAAAAAAAACTTTAACAGTCAGGCACACAACTGATCGCGATGATCTCTGTATTGATTATGCCTTCATCCTAAGAAAGAGGTGAATTCTCAGTATCTCCACATGGTAAGTAATCTTAGGAAACATGAAATATAAATCTGATGTTTGATGAGAACCACTCCAGTGGTTTCCTATCACATTCAGAATTACTTCTGAACACCTCGCCATGAATAAGATTCAGTAAGACCTGGGCTCTGCCCACTTCTTCCAACCCACATCCCTCCATGCTCCCTCTCACTTGCCACACCTTCCTATTCCTCCTACCTCTGCACCTATATATTGTTTTCTAAGACTTGATGACAAGAGTGAAGAATTCTACTCCTAACGGTTAGAGCAAATCCACGCTACTAGTGGTAAGCCCAGCAAGAATTTGCCCGTGTCTGCATCAATGCAGCTTGTTAGCCAAATGTGAAATAAGAATTGTGTTATCTATAGTAAAAGTGTATGTGAAAAATCTATTTTCAATAAACCCATTTTCATAATGTAGGTGCTATAGCAGTGTATTTTTCTGTCTTATATTTTCTGGTGCCTGGAGTAAGTATGTATCACATTCAGTGATATCACAACTACCTCAAACTTTCAAACAATTCAGTGAAGAAACATTACAGACATCTTTCATTTCATTTATTCTTTTTCCCCAGAGGAAAACAATGCTCTTTGCTAAAACGTCTACATTATATCCATAAATAGAAAACAACCATATCTAATTCCAATCCTTCTCTAAACTGCTCCACAGCAGATTACAAAAATGGCTTCAAACCTCTTATGTTTCAGTTTCTTCAAATGCAAAAAAGTGAGGGTAAGGGCTGCCTCACCAGACTGTTGCAAAGCAATGACTTACAGGAGCAGTCAAATTACTTTTTCCCCTTCTGTGGCTATTCCCCTCTCCCCCAACCTGGGTTCTATCTATTAAGCTGAAAGAGAAACTGCTCAATTCCTCTTTCACCTGGCAGCCCCTGAAGGACACTGGCAAGATGCAGGCCACCAGGGCAGAAGGCATCGAGAATTGCAAGGACTCCTGGCAGTGCATCTTCTAAACTCTTCAAGTTTCTAGCAAGTGGCATTTCATACCCCTGATTCCCACCCTGGGGAGACCCTTAGCAGAGGAGTCAGCATATTTTGGGTAAGCTCTGTGACCTCTATAGGCCTTTGCCTCTGTGTGTAAAATGACCAGGTTGGGCTGGATAAACGTGTAGCACCGCTCCTTACAATGGCAACGCAGAGTTCCCAGGCTGAGTAAGGCTCCCCGCTGGAGCAGAGATTCACTCAGAGGTGTGTTCTGGATGAGGAACAAGACAGATGACTTTCTAAACTAGGATGCTGAGATACGAGGCATTTTTAACACATCACAAAAGGAGATGAGAAAATTAATATAATGAGCCAAATTATTTTATTACTTTTTTTTTTTTTTTGAACTGTGAGCTTTGGATGCAACTCTTGTTCTAATTTTAAAAGTGAGAAATCAACAGGTGGACCATGAGGCAGCTGAAGGGGATTTGCAGAACCACAGTAGACCAATTAAGAAGTGAGATTATACACAAAAACTGCTTTCAAAAGTTTTAAAATTACCACAAACAACATGAAATGCAAAGTATTAGAGAGTAGAATATAGACTAAGTATGAAATAATGGGATCCTACACCAGGATGGCTGCCAGAGGCAGATTTCATAGCCTTGGTACTTTCTGAGTTTTGAACCATATGAAGTTCCTACTTAGTCAGTAGTTTTTAAAAACCTTAAATTAAAAAATTATTTTTAAATAAAAGAAACACCCAAGCCTTTACTTCTACCTTTTACCTCCTAGGAAGCACCTCGGAGAAGCCCGAGAAGGTACTACTGCCTGTAAGCTAAGTTTCCAACTTCAGAATGAACTGGAGGCCCAGGGTGGGATTCTTGGAACCACGGGAGACTGATGGTCAACTTGAGAAATCCCTTTAGTAACATTAATTATTGTTTCATTAAGAAAAAGCTACATTAATCTCATTTCCTTTTGATAGGGTTACATGAGTCCCAAAACTCAATCTGGGAGCTCAGGAGAGCTGGCTTAGAGGCTCTTGGGATACCAAAGGCACAGCTGGCCACAAATTCAGTGGATCAAGAAAGTACTACAGCTAAGACTTAAAGATAGAGTAGCTATCCCCTCAACCCTGGACCAGTCAGAGCCACATTTCATTTTGAAAAGCATATTTTAGAGGCCGGGCGCGGTGGCTCAAGCCTGTAATCCCAGCACTTTGGGAGGCCGAGGCGGGTGGATCACAAGGTCGAGAGATCGAGACCAACCTGGTCAACATGGTGAAACCCCGTCTCTACCAAAAATACAAAAAATTAGCTGGGCATGGTGGCGCGTGCCTATAATCCCAGCTACTCGGGAGGCTGAGGCAGGAGAATTGCCTGAACCCAGGAGGCGGAGGTTGCGGTGAGCCGAGATCGTGCCATTGCACTCCAGCCTGGGTAACAAGAGCGAAACTCCGTCTCAGAAAAAAAAAAAAAAAAAAAAAAGAAAAGCATATTTTAAGTGGGATACTGAAAAATTAGACCATTTTTATGTTATAAAAATTATGTTATAAAATGTTATTTAAAAATTTGATGTTATAAAAATAAATATTTTTATATTTATAAAAACTACAAGGAATTGGGGATGGGGGCTCAAAGCCACATGCTATGGTTGGGTAGGGGAGTGAGGGGGCAACAAGAGATGTGAAGCTCAGAGACAAGACTCCCTTTCAAACCCTGAAGGACTGCCTTAAGGAAGAGAGGTTACACTTGCCCTGCACAGCATACTCAGGTTGAAGCAAGGCCTGCTGAAGAAAGCTGGAAAGCTATTTCAGCTCAAACTAAGATGTAACTTGGGGCCAGGTGTGGTGATTTCACGCCTGTAATCTAAGCACTTTGGGAGGTTGAGGCAGGTGGATCGCTTGAGCCCGGAAGTTTGAGACCAGCCTGGGTAACTAAGCAAAACCCTGTCTCTACAAAAAATACAGAAGGTGAGTCAGGTGTGGTGGTGTGTGCCTGCAGTCCCAGTTACCCAGAGGCTGAGGTGGGAGGACCACTTGAGCCTGGGAGGTCGAGGTTGCAGTAAGCCGTGATCGCATCACAGCACTCTAACCTGGGTAACAGAGCGAGTCCAAAAAAAAAAGATGTAAATTGGGCTCAGCGAGCTTAGTTGGAAGTAATACACTCCAAATTAGGAGTTCTAGACCAAGCAAGGCAATACGGGGCAGGGTGAGGCATAGGAAAATGACAGAGAATATGTGAACCCAGAAATGGCACTAGACAAACATCCGAGTTTCTCCAAACACAGAAGGCTGTTTGTCGACCAGCTCTTCTCTAGGACAGACAGAGATGTGCAAAATGGCTTAAATGAAAAATTAAAGTTAGTCATAATCAAGAACAATAGCCGAACTTGATTTGAGCAAATCCCTAAAAATCCCTTTTAAAAAGCAAACAACTCTTTAAAAGGGGATGAAAACTTGCACCAAGTACAGACGGTTAGTAGTTTAAAAAGTTCAGAACACTTTCATATTCAATTCTTCTCTTGGAGATTCACAATTTTAACACACTAAAGGCTCTAAAAAGACACCAGATTAAATTTGTTTCAAAGAAAATATACTGACTGGGGGGAGTGAGGAAATATTTAGCACACTATTAACATGACCAGGCCCCACCCCAACTTTTCCTTTGATTCCTGTTTGGGAAGTGGCAAGCAAAAATACAGATGGGTACACCAGTAAGGAGAAACCACAAAAGCTATCTGGTAAATACTACTGGGAAATCGATGGGTTCAGATCTTTCATTCTGTAACCCCTTTTCTGCCTCAGATCCTCTGCATGTGCTGTTCCCTCTACTTAGCTGGAGAGTGTATATGATGCCATTTCTTTAAAAACAAGGAAGAGACTACTGTACTACGCGTAAACAGAAATGTATGTTCACATGCATAATAGAGGTAGCTGTGGATGATTATGCTCCTGTTAACACTGGTTACCCCAAGAAGGTAGAATGGGGCAGGTAGGAAAAGTATACTGTAAGTTTTTCTGCATACAACTCTTTTCTAGGCCATGTGTGTCATTTTTACAATTAAAAAAAAAAATAGAAAAAAGAATAAAGTGAACGTTCTGGTTTTTGACCTTTCTCAGCACACACACTGCCAGAAAGTGAGCAGGCCCCTACGAACCCTTGAGTTTTCTGATGCCAGTCAGCGTGGATCAGGTTGGAGGTGTGTATGACAACCCGGAGGCCTTCTTCATAGAGCAGCAGCATCATTTTCCTTTAAAAACAGCAAAGGATCAAAAAGCATTAACAGTACTTTCAAAATACGTAATACCTTTCCAATGAAATGTAACAAATAGCTAAAGGAATTTTTTTAAACTCTCAAATTACCCAAACTTTAAACATTTATAATCTTCCCTTCTACACATTACCATGATGAAAGTCTGCCTAAGTGATAGGTTGAAAATCTTTCAAAAACGTTGAGTATTTGGTAAATGGGGTAATGGAGTAAATGAACTTTTACCCTATTCTGTCTACCTGGCCAGTCCTGGCATTTCACATCCCTCCAGCCTGGCCCCATATTATCTACTCAGCATCACCTGCTACTTCTAGGGACCGTGGGAACCTTCTTGTCTGAGATTCAAAGTATGGTCAACAAGCTATTGTTGCATCATGGCTAGTATTTTTTAAACAACTAAAATAGAATAAGTTGGGATACTATATATTTTTAATTACTGGTTCATGAAATTTTGTTTTGGCACATGAGTATATTAGTGCACAATACACTGAAATATAAAATGTATTTATTATGAGTTAAAATTTTAAAAAGTTTGAAAGATCCTTTATTACCATTAGAGTGGTTTTTGTGTCCACAGATTGCACACTTGTCACCAGTGTGTTATCTTGGCTTGAGGTAAGTCTTGCCTATTCTTCATGAACCCAAATGAGACCTAACTGGGTCCACTCTTTTTTCATGTGGCCACCCCAGACCTCTAGCCAAACACATTTCTCTTATTTTAACTCCAGTGAGAGAGAGGGGCTAGGATACAGACAAGAGCTTTCCATCTGAAGTCTGAAGACCTGAGCCCCAGACTGTGATTTAGAAGCCCTTTGACCCTACGTAAGCCACTGAATGTCCCTGAGCCTCAGTTTTCCACTTTTATCTCTAAGGATCTATCCCACCTCAGGACTGTTGTGAATGAAATGCAAAAATACATTTTGCTGCCGAGTACAATGGCCCATGCCTGTAATCTCAGCACTTTAGGAGGCTGAGGCTGGCAGATCATCTGAGGTTAGGAGTTTGAGACCAGCCTAGCCAACAAGGTCAAGTCCTGTCTCTACTAAAAATACAACAATTAGCTGTGTGTGGTGGTGGACACCTGTAACTGCAGCTACTCAGGAGTCTCAGGCAGGTGAATCACTTGAACCCGGGAGGCGGAGGTTGCAGTGAGCTGAGACTGCCACTGTACTCCAGCCTGGGCAACAGAGTGAAACACTGTCTCAAAAACAAACAAATAAATACATTTTATTAAATGTGAAACACTCTCAGCTGTACATTCCTATTACTCCTTCAGTACATAGGTTTATTTTCTAATCTAATAATGGATGATTTTTATCTCCCTGTTGTTTTCAATAGTATTGTTTCAATATTTCAGAAATCTAAGTTCTCTCTCCAACTAAAGTGTCACTTTTCAAGGCTGTAACTCTGTCTTATTTTATCATTTCCATTGAGGACAAAGTGCTACTTAACACTTACTGATGAAACTCAATTCACACATGGGGGAAAAAGAAAATGAACCACTGGCTCTCTCCAAATAAACAACAACATGAATACAATCTAGGCAGGATGAAATTAGCATAAAAAGATAAGAAAAAGGATGCAAGGACAGAAAAGAGAATGAGAGATTTAGCTCTTGCCAAAACGAGAAATTAACCCAAGCTGGCAAACAGTAAATTAATGCAAAGCTGGAGAAATGACAGCTGCTGAGCCATCTTCTTTCCGTTTGTGAAATGTGCTCCCTGAAATCTGGGCAAATTTACATACACAGTTGCCAAATCAGCAGCTGATTGTAATTAAGTCAGTTATGGATTCATGATAGAAGGTTTACAAATATTTCCATTAGTCAAGACATCGATTACCAGGGAAATCACACACTAACGTCAATGAATCCTACCAAATAGAATTATGAACTTGAGAGTAGCCATATTCATTTTTTTTGTAGACAAAATGGTAGTGTTAATAAGGTCAGAATTAAAAATGGATAGAAAAGGGCAAGGAATGAGATCTCCCTTGAAGAATGCTGACCTGCCATATTGTGTGCTAAGCTGTAGGGCAGCAAAACGGACACAACCCAAATGCACAGCTATTCCTGCAAAGGGGGAAGAGAACTAACATATGCCAAGCACCTCTCTGCCAGGTACCATCCTAGAAGCTCTGTCATATGTTATCACACTAAGTCTTCACAGCAATCCAGAGGAGGGTTTATTCTCATTCTACAGATGTGGAATCTGTGGCTGGATAGTTAACAGGTATTATCCAAGGTCACAAAGTGGAAGAGCATGTTGGGATCACACATGCCAGGTGCCAGAGCACTCCTTTCACCACACATGGCTTCCAAAGGCTGGTCCTTGGAAGGAATCAACAGTGAATCCTTCATGCTCCTAGGGTAGGAGTAGGAGAGGTAGGAGAAGACATGGCATTGGTGTGAAAGAAGACTAAATGATGTATGGTGGGGGGCTGTGGAAAGAGGTATGCCTCGCCCGTCCTGTGGTTTGCCATCGGTTACCACCTGGATCTGGATAGTTGACGTTCAGCTGCTTTGGCTTTCTCTTTCCCCTCTATCAATTCTTGGAGCCATAAGAATTAACCCTGCTCCCAGCTCTGGAGGAAACCAAACAGCTTTACCATTCTAAAACACTGTGAGACACACCACAGGATTGCATGGCATCCAACCAAAACTGGAAGGAGCAGGGCTACTGTACCTAACGACTTATGTGCCAAAGTGTATGCAGTCTCAAAGACTGCTCCGTTCACTCTTTCTAGCTCTACTCTGATAGGTGGGGAAAGCAGCTTACACTCCATCACCATGATCTGGAAGGTGTTTCTCCTTTTCTAATTCACTTTTGTCTTGCTTCTCTCACCAAAGAAACAAAAACTCTATATCCTCTTGAGCTCTGTCAAGAACATAATAGGCATTTAATTCTTAAAACATTTCAAAAATAGGCTGGGATCAGTGGCTCACGCCTGAAATCCCAGCACTTTGGGAGGCTGAGCTGGGTGGATCACAAGGTCAGGAGTTCAAGACCAGCCTGGCCAACATGGTGAAACCCCATCTCTACTAAAAATACAAAAATTAGCCACATGCAGTGGCGCGTGCGCCTAGAGTCCCAGCTACTCAGGAGGCTGAGGCAGGAGAACTGCTTAAACCCGGGAGGCGGAGACTGCAGTGAGCTGAGACTGTGCCATTGCACTCCAGTCTGTGCAACAGAGCGAGACCCTGTCTCAAACAAAAATTAAAAAAATAAGCAATCCAAAGTAATTTTAAGACATGAACTCAGTCTTCTACAAGATACTGTCCTTTCATCAAAATGTAAACTATAGCTACTTAATTGGGAAAAGTGCAATTGTAATTACTTTCCTAGGTACTGTTTTTTTTGTTTGTTTGTTTTTGAGACAGGGTCTCACTCTGTCGCCCGGACTGGAGTATAGTGGTATGATCTTGGCTCACTGCAACCTCCGCCTTGCAGGCTCAAGCAATTCTCCTGCCTCAGCCTTTCATGTAGCTGGGATTACAGGCATGAACCACTACTGCCCGGCTAATTTTTGTAATTTTAGTAGAGATGGGGTTTCACTATGTTGACCAGACAGGTCTCGGAACTCCTGACCTCAAATAATCTACCTGCCTTGGACTTCCAAAATCCTGGGACAGGCATGAAACCACCGTGACCAGCCTCCTAGGCATTTTAAACTCTGAATTAAGAACTCTTAGCCAGGCATGGTGGCTCACGTCTGTAATCCCAATACTTTGGGAGGCTGAGGTGGCTGGATCACTTGAGGTCAGGAGTTTGAGACCAGCCTGGCCAACATGGTGAAATCCTGTCTCTAATGAAAATATAGAAGTTAGCTGGGTGTGGTGGCAGGGGCCTGTAATCCCAGCTACTTGGGAGGCTGAGGCAGGAGAATCGCTTGAACCCAGAAGGTGGAGGTTGCAGTGGGCGCTGAGATCGTGCCACTGCACTCCAGCCTGGACAACAGAGCGAGACTCTGTCTCCAAAAAAAAAAAAAAAAAAGAGCTCTGTTGAGTTTAACCTACAAAGTACGTGTGTAGGGGTGAGGTGGTAGGGGCAGTGGTGGATGGACTAAAGGAAATAATAAGGTAAATTTTAGCCATGAGCAAACAAGAACAAATTAAAAGCTAAAGTGAAGGCCAGCACAGGGGTTCACGCCTGTAATCCCAGCACTTTGAGAATATAAGACAGGAGGTCTGTTTGGAGCCCAGGAGTTCGACACCAGCCTGAGTCACAAAGTGAGACCCTTGTGCCTACAAAAAAATTAGCCGAGCATGGTGGTGTGCGCCTACAGACCCAGCTACTTGGGAGGCTGAGGTGGGAGGATTGCTCAAGCCTGGGAGTTGGAGGCTGCAGTGAGTTGTGATCATGCCACTGCACTCCAGTCTGGGCAACAGAGCAAGACCACGTCTCAAAAAATAATATATTAAAAAAAACCCAAAAAACAAAACAACCCACTAAAGTTAGAATAAATAGGTTCTGTTTCTGTCTCCACTACTGGCCCAAAGAAAAACCACATACCTAAATCTGGGCCTCAGTTTCCTGATCTATAAAATTAAAAGGATGGACCAAATAATTTTTATAAGAGCATTAAATAAAAGAATAGCTCCCCCAGGCTCAGTTGAGCATCACTGTGCTAGATCCTAGGTGGGCCTACCATGCTCAGTTTCTTCTACAAATAACAATGTAACGGACAAATGACAATGCTTGAGGGGTTCCCCCATTTCATAAAAATTGCTTACGTGTGGTGTGTTCCAAATGCAATATCCAACTTTGCCTAGGATGAAAAAGAAGTTGTTTATTAAAAAACCACTAATAGCCGTATCTACTGGAAATTACATTAGGAAGCAATCAGGCCAACTTAAAAAAACAAACAAACAATTTTTACTGACCTCTACTGGACAAGCCCTTGAATAACAAGACAGCTTTTATAATAGCATCTGGAGACGCATATTAAAAAAAAATCATAAAATCATAAATTTTGTGAATCACCTAGAATGATTCAATATACCCTGTATTTTTAATTACAGTAATTAGGAGTGAGAAGCCTAATTTAGTTGTCAAAAAACTAGTAAAACAAATAAGATTATGCACAATTTTAGATATTTGGCTTATATATAAATTAATACTACACAGTTTTCAGAGCATATTTGAAAGAAACACTGAAAGTGGTGACAACATAAAGACTTGGGATGTTAAATTAAAATAGAAGCGTCCTTATATTGAAAGCACAGCAAGTGCTGAAAATAAAAACATATGAAATGGAGGGGATGTATATAGAAAACATTTTATCTAACACCCACTACTGCCAGACCTTGGTTAAGTAGAGTATGTCACAAGATACAGGTTATAAAAGAGTTTAAATAACCAAAAAAGTTTCGCAATTTGGAATGCAGTACATGGGCTCAAATCGTGCCTTCACAACTTTGTACAACTCTGGAAAACACGTCTATCGCTATGCCTCAGCTTTCTCCTTTTTTAAATGGTACCGTTACGAGATCCAGAGTTGTTAGAAATGAGATCACATATGCAAAATGCTGAGGAATGGGGGGCTGCATGCACTAAGCATTCTACAATTGCAGTAATCACTACTGCAACCCCTCCCCACTACCTACCCCACCCTCCCTACCACATGACATGGGTGAAACTTTGCTGGGGGCAGTAATGGGCCACTGGAATACACAGGTGAGTTACAACACAGCCCCTGTCTGGAGTGGAGATGCTCACAGACCAGCATGCATCTGTGCACTCTGGCCACAGAAGAAAGTACAGGGAACTCTATTTCATGCCTTCAAAATTACAAAATGAGAAGGAAGACTGCCACTCTACAAATTGATATTTAGCTAAGAAAGAACGATGGTCAAGAGACCTGGCTTTTGTTTAGCTTGCTTCAAATTACAGGCTCTGGACAAGTCTAAGCACAAAAAATAAGGATAATAGCTTCAACAGATAATGTTTACCAGCTGCTGTTTTTGGGCTAGTGCATCAAATCCTTTAGCAAACTCTAGAATGAACACCATTAGCAATCAATTTCAAAGATGAAGAAATTAGGTGACAAGCCAGTGACAAGCCCAGAATAAGTGTTATAAACACTTGTGTTCCCCCCACCAAATTCATATGTTGAATCCCCAACTTCCAATATGACTATTCAGAGAGGGACTTCATGGAGGTAATTAAGGTTAAATGAGGTCATAAGGGTAGGATCCTGATAAAACAGGACTGGTGTCCTTATAAAAGAGACAGACTGTGTGTCTGCCTTCCTCCCTCTCCCTCATGAGAACATCGTGAGAAGGTGACCATCTACAAGCTGGCAAGAGAGCCCTCACCTGGAACTGAACTGACTGGCACCTTCATCTTGGATTCCCAGGTTCCGGAACTGAGATATAAGTGTCTGTTGTTTCAGCCACCCAAGTCCAAGAAAAGTCACCCAGGTAATTTTGTTATAGCATCCGAGCAGATTAATACACACAAACAGAGCTGGGACTGAGCCCCGGCAACGTGACTCTGACCACCACAAGGTCTCAAAGTCTGCCCTTAGGTCCCACGTTTGCAAAATGGGACAGTGTCAGCAGCCACTGATTCTCTGACTAATGTGTCTCAGTTTAAATGACCCATGCTGCTAGAAAAAGAATTTATATTACAGACAAGGTATAAAGGTGTTTCAAGAGATCAGGAGAGGGACACAATCCTACACCTCAGCTAGAGCTGGGAACTTCTAAACAGTTCTTTCCAAGCGGTTTGGAAGCTACAGCTCACTATGCCCTCTGGTGGCCAGCCTGGAGCACGTTATCAAGCACAGGAACCTCTCTCAACCTTTCAGAACAGGTAAATAATATTTGAAAAACACTTTCTATTTCCACTCATTTAGTCACTGGTTTTCAGGATTTCTGTGTCAGTTTACTTTCTGCCCACCATAAGACTTGATAGGAGTTATCCTACTGCGGTAGGATAACTAACCTCTTACGTTGCTGGAAACAGAAGCAAAACAATGGAATTTTGGCAACCGCTGAAGCAAAGGCACATCTATGGGCATGTTGAGATGAACCCATGTTGCATAGAAGGTATTTTTAAAATGACAACTCTATAAAGTGAAGTAGGTTACAACACATGGAAAATCTTGTGAGATATGTTTAAAATTAACAAGACTGAGCTCTTGTACTGTACTAATCTTAAAAAAATACAAAGATATCATATATAGTTGGAAAAAGAGTGATACCATGCGAGTTGGAATTCTTAAATCTTTGTGGATGGGGAAAAGAGACACTAGAAGGAAAATGAAAAAAAAAAAAAAAGAAAATCCAGAAAGCATGTAATTCACTCTTGCCTCTGTACTCTAAGAACAGAAATCTTTCGCCAATTTTGCTAAGCTAATGATAAGGAAAGAAAAGGGCTATAAAAAGAATCTTTCATGTTTTCTCATGAATGGACTGGTAACACAGCTAAACGAAATAGGAAAAGGTGACTATGACACCAGCTACTTCATAACCACCATTTCTACAGGAAGTAGTTACGTAAATGTGAGAAATTCTTCTGTATTCCTTGTTTTCCTTTCTACTTTGCAGGTTTCTTGCTCAAAATGCCACATGTAATAGAAGATCCTTTTGGATGATGAGTCTAAAGAAATGGGTCCTAATGAAAGTCACTGGCCACGTTTTATGCTGGCTGCAAAGTATTAGGACAAAATTATGGGAATACATAAAGAAACCAGGCAATAACTGTTTTTTGGTTTTTCGTATGATTTGGGTCTGTTTCCCCACCCAAATCTCATCTCGAATTTTAATCCCCAATGTTGGAGGAGGGGCCTGAGAGGAGGTGATTGGATCATGGGGTGGGCTTCCCCCTTGCTGTTCTTGTGACAGCGAGTTCTCATGAGATCTGGTTGTTTAATAAAAGTGAGTAGCTCCTCCCCTTTCTCTCTGCCCTCTTGCTCCGGCCAAGTAAGACATGCCTGCTTCCTCTTTACCTTCTGCCATGACTGAAAGTTTCCTGAGGCCTCCTCAGCCATGCTTCATGTATAGCCTGCAGAACCATGATCCAATTAAATCCCTCTTTTTAAAAAAATTACCCAGTCTCAGGTATTCCTTCATAGCAGTGCAAGAACAAACTAATACAGCTTTCTTTTCTGCTTCGCTTTGGTCCTAGAAAACCAAGTGAATATGCCTGTTATGAGACCATTTAATGTCTCCACACTGGACTTAGATCATTCGCAGCATATGACTCACATAGTTTCCTAACAGTTTTTTTAATCTATGGGTCTCTCCTGTTTAGACCTTAGATGCAACTGATGTGAAAAAAAGAACATGGTTGAAGGGCTACCAATGAAGTGTCAATGGCAGCTAATGTAAGTTACGTAACCCAGGTTTCAACAGGAATACTGACAAGCTACATGCAACCAGGGAGCACTGCGGCAGGTTGTGGCAAGACTCGGAATCCAAACTACATTGAGAACAACCAAAGAAGAGAATGTTTGAATCACAGAGAGAAAACTAAGAGAGACAGGACAGATCACTTTAGATATATGAATCACTGACATGTGTAAGATGAAAGACTTTACTTATTTTGTATGGCTCCAGAAGGGGAAAATTAAGACCCAATGAGTCGAAATTAGGAAGACTTCAGGTCCACAAGAAGAAAAACCTTTCCAAGCATAAGGAGTACTATGAATGGGATGCTCTATCTCAGGAAGTGTTTAAGCTGAGGTTAGACAAATATCTGTTGATGACTGATGCTGGAGAGAGGACTTCTGCACTAGGTGGAAGGGTGGTCTAAATGTCTATGTTTCCTTCTAATTCTCAGACTGTACACGCTCTCCAACGGCAGTAAGTGGCTTACCTGGCAGAGAGAGATGTTCTCGTAAGGCTTGGCCTGGGCATGCAGGTGAGCCTTAGCCTCTCGCTTATCACCATGCACAAGCAGGACTGGCTTCTTCCTGAAAAGAGAGCATAAGTATTTAAAATACATCATTCACGGCCGGGCACAGTGGCTCACATCTGTAATCTCAGTACTTTGGGATACTGATGCAGGCAGATTACTTGAGGTCAGGAGTTCGAGACTAGCCTGGCCAACATGGTGAAACTCCACGTCTACTAAAAATACAAAAATTAGCTGGGCATGGTTGTGCGTGCCTTAATCCCAGCTACTTCGGAGCTAAGGCAGGAGAATCGCTTGAACCTGGGAGGCGAAGTTTGCAGTGAGCCGAGATTGCACCACTCCACTCCAGCCTGGGTATCAGAGTGAGACTCTGTCTCAAAAATAAATAAAATAAAATACATCATTCATGAAGCTGGACTCTGGCCTCATTAAGGAATGCTAGCTTCTTTATCACTTGACATTTGTTTCTGGCATTTGTAGTAAGTGAAGTCGGGGCTAACACAGAGCAGTGATCAGCTCATGTTCATTGACCAGATCAGCTCATGTTCATTTACCGGATGCCTTTATAATGGGGCTACATGGCCTGATCCTGCAGTTCTGCTGTAACACGGAGAGAATTCAAGGACTATATTCAACAAAGTCCTTGAAGAATTATCTTCTTTAGCCCAAAAGGGCACATAAGTAGCTCTGTGTTAAAATACTTAAGTCCAAATAAATTAAAGATAATTATTGTTATATAGTACAATGCTTTTATTTCCTTCTTTTGGACCACACAGTAGATTCATTTCACACCATATCTATATTAGCCAGACTCCTCCTGTGTGCTATGTATTGAGCTAGATCCAGGATACAACAGTGAACAGGCCCAGGCCCACAGCATGACACAGACACACTAATGGGTGGTTAGATTTCAGTGAAACAGAGCCCAAGCTATGCTGAAAATGCTCTATTTTTGAATTCCAAATATAAAAACACTTTTCAAGAATACATTAAAAGGCTTTTGAGAGATTCTTGATCTTTCTGATTAATTCAAAGCAAGATAATCCTTAGAAATAAATATATTTCTATAAGCTCTCCCAACACAACAAAAATTGGATATAACCAATCAAGCAAGTTAAACAACTGAGCCACTTCCAGATTTATCAGTCACACTGCAGAATGATTCTCTACCATACACAAAGGAAAAACAATCAACTAGACAGAAACATCATCGAAAACGTACTTCTAGTACTAATGCCTCATTACCTCATACCCAATAGCTTTATGCTTACATGACAGGTAAACTATAAAACATGCATTTGTGATTTTTTTTAGAAATTAGGTAAGAAAAACAATATAGAGAATAAAGCAACACTCATGCATCTATCACCTAGAAACAAAATGTTAGATTGAGTCATCTTTAAACAAAAGATTAAACATGACTGATAGAAACTGACGTCCTCATTAATTCTTTCAAACATGTTGGTTCTATGACTTATTACAAAAAAACAGTACCTGAAGAACAGCATAATGAGGTATAAATCCTTATGATCTGAATTTTTCTACATACAAATTCTGGATATTACTTAAACTTGCCATTTAGGCCACTCCTCAACCTTCTAAGGCTCTTAATAGCCTTCCCAAGATGGCAGTAAGGGTGTGCAGGGAGGAGGAGGATACTTTTTCCCTTTAGTTACTGAGAATCCAAATGGACACTGTATTAGCATGCCAGGGCCTCCACAACAAAGTGCCACAAACTGGGTGGCTTAGAAAATAGAAATATATTGTCTCACAGGTCTGGAGGCCAGACGTCCAAGATCAAGGTGTTGGCAGGATTGGTTCCTGAGGCCGCGAAGCGCATCTGTTCCAAGCCTCTCTCCTAGCTTCTGGGAGCTTGGCTTGTAGATGGCCTTCTGTGTCTTCACAGTCTTATCTCTGATGTCTCTGCACCCAAATTTCTCTTTTTATAAGGAGATCAGTCATACTGGATTAGTAGCCATCCTAATGCCCTAATTTTATCTTGATTACCTTTGTAAAAGCTCTATCTCCAAATAAGATCACATTCTGAGGTACTGGGGATTAGAAGCCCAACAGATTTTTTGGGGGGTGAGAGAATTTAACCCATAACAGATACAAAGGAACGGCAGTCTACATTTTGCCAACACTCTAATGGGGTGATGATTTCAAGGTCTTTAAGAAAAGGGAGGAAGAAGAGAAAATGCCAGTATGATGATACCCAAGGATACTACTGCCAGGATGAGCCAAGGCAGAAACTGCTTGTTGCCTCCAGACAGTCATTCTCTTCTCCTTCTCTAACAAAAGGCTAATTCAGAACAAGGTGTGCTAAGCTAAAAGACATTTCAGCCTGTGCTCAATGAAATAGATGCAGGTACTGTATGGGACTTCCAGGAAGTCTGCTCAGATGGGCATAGCTGGAACGTGGGCCTTTTTCGTCCTCCTCCTCCCTCCCGCTTCCTGCTACCTGGAATAGACAAGTAAGCTGGAGCTCTAGCTGCTATACTGGGCCATGAGGTGACTCTGAAGACTGAATCACACACCAGGATGGTAGAACAGAAAGGGTAGGTGGATAAGTCTCTGAGAACCCTGGCGCCCCCAATCCAGACCATAAATGTTTACCATGTCAACTTGTCAGGCTGGAAACAATTTCTGTCTTATTTAAGCCACTGTTATTTTGAGTATTCTTTTACATGGAGATAAAACTAGGCCGGGCGCGGTGGCTCAAGCCTGTAATCCCAGCACTTTGGGAGGCCGAGGCGGGTGGATCACAAGGTTGAGAGATCGAGACCATCCTGGTCAACATGGTGAAACCCCGTCTCTACTAAAAATACAAAAAATTAGCTGGGCATGGTGGCACATGCCTGTAATCCCAGCTACTCAGGAGGCTGAGGCAGGAGAATTGCCTGAACCCAGGAGGCGGAGGTTGCGGTGAGCCGAGATCGCGCCATTGCACTCCATCCTGGGTAACAAGAGCGAAACTCCGTCTCAAAAAAAAAAAAAAAAAAAAAAAAAAATCCATTACCTCCAGAGCCTAGGTAAGGGAAGGCTATAGGTACAGCCTCCTTTCCTAATCACAGAAACACAAAGGGATCCTTAAGACAGAACACCATTGATATGCCAAGGAAAGCACAGCACGCTGGCCACATGTTGGTACACTGACAGATCTAGAAGGCATGTGGAGATGGTCTTTTCCTTCATATTAAGACTGGATATAAAGTTCTGTTATTTGAGTTAAAGCCTGACCTTATCTACTTCCTGAAAGAGCACAGAGGAAAATGCTAAAATCTATAAAAAGAATGTGTAGGATTAAATAGATCAAAGAATGGTCTTTTCCCAATATAACTTAACGTCTATATAATTTCAATAGTTTCAAGACAAATATTCAAAAAGAGATCGGTGGCTTTGCCTGAGAAATACAAATCTTAGGTGTCAAAGCCCCCTCACAGTTTATGGTGTTGTCTGTCACCCTGCAGAACTCACCTGAACTCTCGTGGATACTGTTTTACAAGCCAGTCCACGTCAAAGCAGTAGTTAAACTAGATGGGAGAAAAGAAGAGTAAGCCATGGGTAATTCTGCCAAACAGTTCAGAAGGAGAATTGTTTAGTTATTACGTCTACTAAGGAAACTCTAAAATAATGATGCACTACATATATTATTTGTAAACCTGGAGGGTTATGCTGCAATAATAATAAATCTATAATTTATCTTAAATAAATGGTTAAAAGAACCTAAATAGAGCCAAGTACATGAGATAACAGGTTGTCAGGAAATTATCTCTGCATGCTTTGGCAGCATCTGTACTTGTCCGCAGGGTGTTATTACATTATGTCTAATGGCCTTGAGATTAATTTAAATAAAGGGGCTTATAATTTTATCCCTTTTCCCCTAGGTGATTATAAAAAGACAGATACTGGAGACAAAGATCCTAGGACTTTCAGAAATGAACATTTCCTTTCAGGCTAACTTATTAGCTAGCTTTGTATACAGCCACCTGGGACCAGACATTTACTAGGCTTATAACAATTAAATCTTAAATGCAAGTTCTGTACTAGTCTCATCCATACAGCTCCTCCCCACACCTGGGTAATTAGTAACTTAGTAACTCAACTGAGCTAACAGGGCATTTGCAAAAGCTCCCCACCTTCCAAATGGACACCAGGACTCTCAATGCCAAACCAAAGATAAAAGAAGCCTGGCTTTCCTCAGGGACAGAGCCATTTGTTCTGACCATTTACTTCAGGGTCTGGAGCATTACATGATTTATCAACACAAAGGGACCAGCTCAGTCAGGAAGGAGCCACTGAACATGAAAATTCACATTTTTCTAACTTAACTTGGCCTTCACTACTCACACCTCACCACTCTATGCACCAGAGTTAACTCAGTCCCATGAATTAATCAGTGTCCCCCAAAGAAGTGTCCTATTCTAGTCTTTCAGGTTGGAATGTCCAAAGAGACTTCTTGGCCAGTGGGACGTGAGTCAAAAGCTCTCCTGATATTGACATCCCCATTCTATGTTGATGGCCATGGATCCCATGACTGTGGCTAGCTTCCAGGTATGTGCCATCTCAGTCTCCACATGGGACTGAGACCCCCAAGATGCACTTTTCATATTTTCTCATGGAGTTGTTTAATTACTTGTCTACTTTCACCCAAAGAAAAAACACCTTAAAGGTATACTCACCTGAGCTGAAGAAACAAGCGTCCCAAATAAAGGAGATAAAATATCTGAGAAGACAAAACATAAATCTAATTCACACTCACAAAAATCCTCTAGTCATAATAATCACTACTAACTTATTCAACAGTCACTGACAATCAAGATTTGACTCAGAACACAGGAAGCTAAAACGTTACTACAAAGTCAGACTTTAATGTTTCATAAAATTAAAAAAATAATTTCCCTATGGTATTTAATATTTATCATATATTTTTATAAGACAATGTAAAACTAAAATCCACAACTTCAGTACTGAATGGCTGATCAATTTTAGAAACAATATGGAAAATAATGATACAAATTCTTTTCAGATCTCTGAACTTCTACCTCCTCCAAATGCCCATTCAAGTTCCTCTCCAGGAAACCTCCCAACTTAAGACTAGAAAGCCTTTCTAGAAAGATTTTATAAACCTTGACAGTTTGGGAAGAATTTCCAGAAAGACTGGAAAGCACTTACTGAGAGCAACTTGCTGCCTGTGAATGAAAGCACAGAGGCACCCACAATTCTAAACTCACATTCCTGGTGTTCCTGGTCATCTCTAGGGAGGTCCCACTTTGTACCCATTCAAGCTTTATGTTAGACTTTGTACCCATTCAAGCTTTGTACCCATTCAAGCTTTATGTTACACTTCTCAAACTATACCATGAGAGGAAGTACAGGATCATCATGACCTTCTATCACAGTAGCCACATGTGTGGAGACGTTAGGTGCCAAGCAGCGTTCTTGGCACTTCCCATGTATTACTTACTCCACATATCCATTTTCCAGGTGGGGTCTGTTATTCCTACTTTATAGAGGAGGAGCCTCTTGAGGAGGCTGCCCACAGACACACAGCTAGGAAGGGGTAGAGTCGGGGTTTGAACCTAGGCTGTCTGGCTCCAGCACCTTCGCTCATACCCACTAAACCGTCTCTGAGAATTAAGACTGGTCTTATTCATCTGAAAAATATTTACTGAGTGCCTCCTATCTTCTGGAGGTTGAGCTAGATGCTGGGGTAGAAAGATTTTCAGAGAATAACAATAACAACAAATCATAAGGAAGTTCCTACCTTATTAGAAGCGTTGCAGAGATAAATTGCAATACATTCTTCCATTTTGCCCCCACCAGCATGTATTTCTACCCTTCTAAATTTTACCCATCTTTCAAGGGTCTTTTAAAGTTTCTCTTCCTCCATGAGATCTTCTAAACCATCTAAAATTATGGCACATGGTAGAGTGCTATAGCAAACAGCATGGATTCTGATGCCAGAATGTCATTACCAGTTCTATGACCTTGGGCACATCTAAACTGCAGATCCATCACTTATCCAAGGAAGACAATTATAACATCTACTCATAAGACTGTCCTGAGGACTAAAGGAGAAAATATATATAAGCGCTATTATATTACCACAATATCTGGGTGCTAATAGCCAGTTATTTTATTATATAGAGCAAAACTTGGCAAAATTCTTTAAGTATTTGTCAATCTGTCTCAGACAAACAAAAAACTTGACAAATACCAAGAGATTCTCAAAAAGAAAACAACCTGTAGAAGACTCTACAGAATAGAATACTCGACACGTATACATCACACACCATATAGTCATATACTGTATATATATTAAAAAAAATACTGCTGACAGTGAACATTACTATTCTTAAATATGGGACAAGAAAAAAATGTGAAATAAGGATAATAACATTTATTGTGTGTATCTGCCATGTGAATATATTACATTGGTCACTTCATGTATTTGCTCCAATTTTTCTGCATTTCCAGTTTAAAAATGAACAAACTGAAATTCAGAGAATGTTAGGTCCTATGTTAACAATTCATACAGCAAATGAGTGGTGAAGCCAGAAAGCAGATTCTGGAGCTCCTGCTGCTCCCCCTGCAGGTGCTCCCTGAGGAATGAGAGCAAACGAAGACCATCTTTTGATCCACAAATGAAACAACTATTTGCACTCAGGCACTTTTTTTTTTTTTTTCCCTTCTTCACCGGGAGCCAAAACCAGGCTTTTAAGCAGTGGTTCTCAAACCTGACTGGGCAGTAGAATCCCCTGACGGGCTCGTGAAAACAGACTGCAGGGTCTCACCCTCAGAGTCTGATTTAACAAATCTGGAATGGGGTTCGAGAATTTTCATTTTAACAAGTTCCAGCTGATGCTGAGGCTGCTGCGCCTAGGCCCATGGAGAACTACTGTTGTTAAATATTTGTTACTTTGTTGGTAAAGAGTAATTCATAAAGCTTAATCTTTAACCTCAAAGTTAAATAATGCGCTGGGCACGGTGGCTCACGCCTATAATCCCAGCACGTTGGGAGGCCGAGGCAGGTGGATCACGAGGTCAGGAGTTCAAGACCAGCCTGACCAACTTGTGAAACCCTGTCTCTAATACAAATTAAAAAAAAAAAAAATAGCCAGGCATGGTGTCATGCACCTGTAATGCTAGCTACTCAGGAGGCTGAGGCAGGAGAAATGCCTGAATCTGGGAGGCAGATGTTGCAGTAAGCCAAGATCATGCCACGGCACTCTAGCCTGGGTGACAGAGCAAGACTCTGTCTCAGAAAAAAAAAAAAAATTAAATAATGCTAAACATTGTGCAAGGGTTGAGCTACAGGGTTTTGAGAACATATTCTCTGCCCAAGTTAAGTAAACAGTCTGCTGTCAAAATAATGCACTTGCCTGTCAAGAATTTTTTTCCTGAAAGTAGTTAAGAACACAAAGAGTTCTCAGAAATCATTCTAGGCTGCCCTCCTTGTTTCATGGAGGAGACTCTCAAGTGCAATTCAATAGCTCCTTGACACCCAGCATCTTCTTACCCTTGATGTGGAGGGCTCCGGAGTTATACTTTGGCTTAATTCCCGAGACTCTAGTGAGGTAAAACTGGTAAGGGTTCCCTTTATCCAGCATGTCCCAAATGTCCTGGCCCTCCCCTGACGTCTCGTATTCATTTTCCTCCTCCTCTTTGAGCCTGTGGCAGGTGGGAGGGCCATGATTTTCAGTTCTTTGGGCAGCGCCATCACTGGGAGCAGAGATGTCCTTCTCCTCTTTGATCACCACTTTCTCAGCCTGCTTCTGAGGCCTTTCTGGATGCAGCTCATCATCACTGCTGGACAGACACCAACCTAGGTCCTCCTGGGAACCGCTTTTCTGCCTTTTGAGAGGTAAAACTGAATCTGTGTTGCTGAATTTCACAGGTGATACGTTCCTCTTGTGTGCAGCTTTCCGGGCCTCGGAACAGGTGTACCTGGGCTCATTTGCTGCTCCTCGCCCAAGAGAAGAGGTAGACGGCTTGTCTGGTTTTGGCTTTTCTTCCTCACTTTCATCACTACTGGATATGGTCCACCTCCCATAATCGCCTTCCTGAGACATTACACTCCTGGAAATGAAAGGCGGAAACATCAGCATTTCCCATTCATTAGGCTACTGGCAAAAACTTTATTGCTCTCAACTTCCCTGTCAGATGAGCTAACACCTTGCAGAGGCTGAACCACTTAACATCAGCTGCTTTTTAGGTGTTTATAGGCACATTACCAGAATCTACTATCAGATTCCCTTTGTCTACCTTCCCCTCCTCCCACTGTTTTTTTTCTTTCTTTTTTGGTAGAGACAGGGTTTCACCATTGTTGCCCAAGCTGGTCTTAAACTCCTGGACTCAAGCGATCCACCCGCCTTGGCCTTCCAAAGTGCTGGGATCATAGGTATGAACCACCAAGCCTGGCCTTGTTTTTCAATCTAAACTTTGTTCTTAGATGTCCTAGGAAAGGGTGTTGAAACCAACCAAACATTCATTCATTCTTGACCCTGAAGCTTCCAACAAGTGTTTGGGGTTAAGGTCAATTTAATCTATATTCAAATGCTCAAGGTCAAATTGGAATTTACAAGCCTAGCCTTTACTGAAGCACAGGCACCCACAGGCTTTCAGTGATTATGTCTTCCCAAAAGACACCCCATTTACCATAAAGCTTAAAGTTTTCAAGAGGAATGCCAAATGACCACTTAGGTGTACACATTATTTATACCACTTTCATGAGAACCCAACTAACTCAAGATATCCCACTGGCCACATCATAAATCTACTAAAACCTGCACAGAGATAACTTGTACTAAAGCAACACGTTTTTATTTTTTAAGCCACAAAGTCAAATTCTACTTTCTTGTTCTGAGAAAAGGAAAGTACACACAAGAGACACTTTTGGTGTTACTACATAATCTTATCAATTCAATGGTTAAGGACTAAGTAGACTTTCCAGATAGCTAAAAACCAGTTCCTCAGTGTGATACTTTTAACATTTTAGCACAAGACCCAGAGGAAAATTACAAAACTCAATAGTCTGTGCTCAGATTAACAGAGCATCTTTTAAGTTTCTGCTGTTTTAAAGAGGCTGAAAAAGATGCATTGAGTGGAGTAAACCAAGATGGTTACACTCCCTTCACAAGACCCACATTCCCCCTAAAAAGGGAATTCTACATTAATTCTACATCAAAAGATTTGCAAATGAATACAGATGCATATGTCTCTACATGAGAAATAAAAGCGTTGGCCAAGGGGACCTCAGAGAGGTAAAACTGCCTTTTAAAACCTTAAAAACCAAGTTCCGCTGGGCATGGTGGTGCGTGCTTGTAATCCCAGCTACGCAGGAGGCTGAGGCAGGAGAAATGCCTGGACCCAGGAGGCGGAGGTTGCGGTGAGCCGAGATCGTGCCATTGCACTCCAGCCTGGGTAACAAGAGCGAAACTCTGTCTCAAAACAAAAACAAAAACAAAAACAAGTTCCAGGCCATGATGGGATGGGCGCTCAGACATGCTGTTATATCCCCTCCCTTTTGCTGTTTAAACACAACTGACCAGAGATCATAAGACTGGCAAAATAGATTCTGTGGCAATCCAACATTAAATCATAAATAAGACCTACGGTCATGCCAAGCAAGGGTTAAATCACAAAATGCTACCCTTAAAGAATAAACTATGATCTACCTGCCCCACGGTTCTTTTTTTCTTCAGCAGCTAAACAAGCACTGGCCTGCAGATAGCAATATCTAAACAATTGCAGCTTACCTACTGCCAAATAGATGCCTGACTAACTGACCCCTCTGATTCCACAGGCCATCACCACAGCTGTCATTGGGCAACAGACCAACTTCAGCAACTTTCTCCTGATAAGAAAACACAGACTGGTTCTGATCAGTCCTCAGAGGCTAAGCACTGAGTGAGTGCCTTCAGGTCCCTCCTTCACCTTTTGACAAAAGGGGCCTAATTGTAATTCATTTAAATGTTAAGGCTCCATCCCAAAGTGAACATGAGATGCACAAAACATGAATGTTTGCTCATCACCTGTGCACATGTGCCTCCTTCGCTGAATATTCATAGCTCCTCCCACACCTGTTGAATACGTATACTTGCCAACCCACTCAGCACAAATCCCAGTTCTACCCTCTCCTCCCTGGGATGCTGTTAAAGGTCTCTGCCTGAGGCTGTGCTTCCCAGCCTGTCAGCCACGCTGCAGGCTATAACCCTTTATAAGAAGTTCTCCTTTCTAAACATACAGATTTCATGATTTTTCAGTGGACACAGCTAAACAATCAAACAAACAAACAAACAAACAAAAAACACCTATTTTAAAGGTATTTATCCCTTTTGACAATTTCTCATTTAACCATTTTCAATTAGCTACCAGTCAAGTCAAGCAAGCCTTCTGTAACTTATACATTTCAGGGACTATTATGCAAGAATGCATCAAGACAATAATCTGGCCTGTGTTCTTCATGGCTAATGGTCACTATTACCCCACCAGCCATGAACATTATTATCTCATAGCCAAAGCCTACAGACTGCAGAGAGGGCTGGGGCCACCTGCTCCTGTAATTGTGACCCCAGACTGTCTGGCTCTTTTGAGCCTTCTTCATATCTCCTTAGTTTCCTATTCATTTCTACACCTGTCCAGCCCACTTCTAGGGGTTGTTAAAACTCATAACATAGGAATATTTTCCCTAAACTGTTTCTAATCTGCTAATGATTAAGAAACTGGATAACTGGGGTTGTAGAATTGTATTGTCATGGTTAGAGGGGTCTGAGTGCCCAGTTTCCTCCATGAAAGAGATTAGATTGATTTACTACTGAACACCTACTTAAGCAGCTCAGAGGTGTTTTTTAAAATGTGTTTTTAATCCTTCTGGGTTTAAAAACACACACACGCACAAAACCTTAGGTTCCTCTAGTGTTCTAGAGTCTAGAAGTGGCTGGATAGAGGTATTTAAGCCATTACAATTCACTTTGAAGAAACTATTTCACTGGCTAGGTTTTGTGACTTTAAAGTTATTTAGGAACGAAAGAACCACCCTAGGAAAAACCGCTCTCTGAAAGTCAGCTCTAGCTTCCTTAGAATTCTAAAACAGCTCAAAAGCAAGGTGCTTAGTAATAGAATCTTCAGTTACAGTCCTCAGGCTGTTCTCTATAGATACCTTGCTCATTCTAAACCAAATAGCAGGTCTCAGTTTTTGGTGAGAAAAGATTCAGCTTCCCTCTTAGAAGCAGACTGCAGAATCTTCAGAGGCTACCATCATCTCTTCCCTAGGGGAGTAACAAATATGGTTGACTGTATTACATAAATTTTATATACAATGAATTCTAAATTTCTCTTCAAAGAATCGGTATGTCAGTATGTTCAGTTATTTGTCCTTCATTTTAAAGTTGAACTCCCTTATAGTTTCAGTAAACAACCTTCTCCACCAGTTCTAATCAGTTGTTCACATCTGTTCCCTGGTCCCTAGCTCTGTCCTGACTCATCCTGGTCACCTGCTTTGACCTAGGTCACCCCTGGCTACTTGCTCTGACTTGCCTGTAACAGTCCTTCCCGCCAAACCACCTACCCTGCCACTCTGGCTTGCACTCCTGCTCTCCTAAAAATAGCCAGTCGGGGTTAGTCTAGCCCAGGCGTCCCCAAACTTTTTAAACAGGGGGCCAGTTCACTGTCCCTCAGACCGTTGGAGGGCTGCCACATACTGTGCTCCTCTCACTGACAACCAATGAAAGAGATGCCCCTTCCTTAAGTGCGGAAATGGCCTCAGGGGGCCGCATGCGGCCTGCAGGACGCCTGGTCTAGCCTGTGTGGTCTAACCCTAGCCAACAGGAGAACGAAACACCAGTAGGGGTGACGTCCGTCAGAAATAACTATCCCTTTTTGTCCAGGTGTGTGCTCACCATTGCTCCATCAGTGAGGCACAACCTTCTAAGAGGTAAACTGCCTTGCTGAGAGGATTTATATTTGAGTGCTATTTCTTTCGTGGCATCAAAATATTACTTATACCAGAAATAAAATGGAATTCCCAAACCATTAGAATTCTGTAGGTAAAATCCTTAGCAACTCTGTGAATTAGAGAACTTCAAAGGTTTTTTAGTTTTATCATTATCTACATTTTCTAAAACCACATGGAAGTGGAATTCTCTCCAACAAAGTAGGAAAGCTTTTAAAAAGACATTTTCTAGAGACCAAAGCCTTTCTTGGGGTTCTGCTCTATACATAAAGTTTTGAACTTGCTGACACTAAAAAATATGCCAGAGTTGCTTATTAAAGACAACACAATACAATGTATTGGGTTACAATTTAGTGCAATACACTAATAAAATTGTGTCTTGCAATTAAGTTTAGCAGCGTACCAATCTCTTTATGAAATCAAGGTACGCAGCCAGTTGGAAAAGGACTGCTGGTAAACACTAATATCAAACTTTTACTTTGGATAACTGAATGGTCACCAGTATCAGAATTACTTCCCTCATACAGGATCTGGTGCCCAGGATTCCAGAGTGTTTTGTAATCGAGTCATACAGTTTTTACAAACACAGAACCCAAGAGCTTTCCTTCAATTGTTTATTATCTGTCTTCCCTGCTTGGGCAGTGCTTGATACAGCATAAACCTAAAGTCACACTTTTCGTGAGTGGTACCGAATCAGAGAATGCAATATAGCTATGTTGATTCTGAATCCTGGCACTCAATCAGGACAGCACAGTGTTTCCTAGAGTGGAAGTGACTGGGATCTGACATTATGAAAGAACCTCCCCTTCCATTCCAATCCAAACTCCCTGTTTAAATCAAGAAGAAAGTTGGAGTGTTGTAGAAATGCTTTTAATCTTGATTTTGAACAAATAGCAGGTCTGGGCTCTTCTGTAGGCACCAACAGTTTCGTTTACCATCAACAGAAGGTATCTTATGGCTACGTTATATTTGAAATAGCAAAATACAGTTTATGTAAAAGAATGATTGGATTCAAACAAAAATACTGAGTGTGTGATAGTCTACGTAAGAGCAAAAGGAGGCAGACAAATCCCTAGGCAGAGAGGGGCAGGTCCCCAGAGGAAATCCCACCTGCAAACCAAAGACAGTTTAAAGCCTGAAAGCCAAGCTACAAGTCTCGGACAGATCCACGGACCAGACTGAGAACCTCTCTTACCACTTGGCACACTTTCCTCTGATTAATCCCCACCCTTCACCTACTTTACAGACACCTACTTTTCCCTAATTAGTTTTTTATACTGTCATGCCCACCTTTGAAGTGGTGCCTTTGTTTTAGCCTTTTTTGCATACTCATAAACCAATCAGCATACACTTCCCCATTCTGAGCCCACAAAAGCCCTGGCCTCAGCCACACTGAGGAACTGCTCACCTTTGGGCAGGGGCATACCCGACTTCAGGTAGGGGCCGCCCACTTAGGGTTCTCTCTGCTGAGAACTGGTTCACTGCTCAATAAAACTCATCTCTGCCCTTCTCCCCTTCGGTTGTCAGCCTAACCTCATTATTCCTGAACGTGGGATAAGAAACTGGGACCTGCCAAACAGCGAGTACAGCAAATAGAGATATAACCCTGTAGTACTTGGTTCCACTGGTGGAGCAATGGAAGAGGGAGCTAGCTGCTGGCTGCCACACACCCCCATTCGCTGGGGTGTGGATGGTGGGACTAAAAGAGCTGTTAACACATCCCTATTTGCCTGGCATCTCCAAGTGTTCAGGCATCACTGTGTCCCCCTTGTCTGGACACTGGAGTCTGCTGCTGGGGTTACTTACCATACCCCTAGGCCAGCCACAAGCCTTGCATGGAGCCTATACCTGGGCCAGCACTTGGAGGAGCCAGCTGGGCCTCCAGGCTCACTCACTCACATACCCACTCCTCGCCGGCTGAGCATGCAGTCATGCTGACCGCAGGATGCCGGCCAGGATGAAAGCCAAATGCTGCCTGCCAGGCTGAGTGGGCAGAGCACTTCCTGTGGCCAGCTCAGGGCTGGAGGTCTCCGGCTGGCAAAGCAGCGCTAGAAAAATCCTGCATCGTATGTGTTGAGAAAAAAACAAACTAGGAAAAAGGCAGGTGAGTGACAAATTTGGCAAACACTGCACTAACATGAAAAACAAAGAATATTTCCCGCCAAGTGCTAGCTCAGGGCACTTTTAACGCTTTTATTAAGGACTTTAAAACATGTTGTGGATATGAAAGGGTACTCCATTTACAGCTGCTAGTATTTCCTCCCTCCCCACTATACCAGACCCAGCTGGGGCATTTCTCTTTCACCTCCAGCAGCAACTTCTCATGGAGCTTAAGGACTATCAGTTGGGCCTGGGACCAGGCTCCTCAGATGAGTCCCCTTGTGGCCAGTGATAGGCAAACATGGGCCCTTGTCTCAAACCCAGCCCTCACTAGGGAGTAAATGTGCACTTGGGCAGGTTAGTTAACTGCCAAGCCTCAGTTTTTTAGTTTGTAAAATGGTTATCATGCTTACCCCCCAGACTTCATTCATTCAACAACTTACTGGGCAGCTATTATGTGCCAAAAACTGAGAATGAAGCGTTAATGATATACCGCTTCTACCTTAGCAGAGCATAATTTCAGAGCAGAAGAGACAGACCCACACATACAAACTGTAATAGCCAAGATGACTAGACATTCATTACATTTTATGAGACAAAAAATAGGGGTGGCCTTACTTTGGAACATGCTGAAGAAGTGACATATAAACGAGACCCAGAGGGCCAAAAGGAACCTGCTGTCTAAATGATGGTGTAAAGAGCATTCCAAGCAGAGAGAACCCAGCCTGCAGAGGTAAGAGAGGTCATAAAAAACGACTTAGGCAAGGCAGGCAGTGGTTCAGGATAAAAAGGGTGAGGGGAGAAAACTTGCTAGACATTGGATTTTATGCTAAGAACAATGGGGCCCCATTGAGGGCTTTAAGAAGAAGGGAAGTCCAAGTTGTCCTTTTTTTTGGAGACAGAATCTTACTCTGTCACTGAGGCTGGAGTTCAATGGCTAGATCTTGGCTCACTGCAAACTCTGCCTCCTAGGTTCAAGCAATACTCCCGCCCCAACCTCCCAAGGAGCTGGGATGACAGGCATCCGCCATGATGCTCAGCTACTTTTTGTAGAAATGGGGTTTCATCATGTTGGCCAGGCTGGTCTTGAACTCCTAACCTCAAGTGATCTGCCCCCTCTGCCTCCCGAAGTGCTGGGATTACAGGCGCGAGCCACCGCGCCCGCTGTCGATTTGCCTTTTTAATACAAATGGGTGCTAAAACTCTGTAGGGAATGGTTTGGGGACAAAGAAGTGAGAGGGCTCTTGCTGAAGGCTTGGGGACCGACCGAAGTGGGCCGATTCGGAACGTGAGGAAGTGATGGCTGCAGCTGCTAACCTGACTGCATGCTCACCTGGGGCCAGGCACGATTCGAAGCCCCTCATCGGGTGTCAACTCGCTTCACCCTCAGGACAACTCTGTACTACGGTGACGGTCCCCCTCTACTGGGAAACCGACCACAGAAAGCTTAACCGCCTGGGGCACGCAGTGGGCGCTTTCCTACTCACTTTATGGGACCACGCACCTGTAAGCTTGGGTCAGGGAATAAGAACCTGAGCAGGGGCCCCTCGCGTCGCGCCCGTGCAAGACTCGGGTCCCCGCGGCGCCCGTGCGCGTCCCCTAAAGCGCTGTGATCTGACCCTGTCCCGTCTTCCTGGCCGCGCCATTTCCTCGCGTTCCGTTTCCAGCCTTGCTGGACTCCAGCAGCCCGCGCACCGCGACCGGACCAGGAGCAGGATCCTGGGCCAAACCGCAGCCCGGGAGAAACCGCGCCGAGTCCACGCCCGCGGTCGCACAGCACCTACCTGAGGTGCGCAGAACACACACACGCCTCGGAACCCGCCCCAACGGCGGCTATCGCGCATGCGCGCAGTTCAAACCCTTCGGACAGCGGCGCTTGCCCGAAGCCCGGCCCCTTCCCCTTCCGGGAACCCACTGCTGGGTCCTAAAGCCCGCCGGGTGTTTCCCCAGGACGGGGCGGGGCCTCCCCTAGCTCTCGGCTCACTTTCTGGAGGCTTCTTAAAACGAGAGGGAAACCAGAAAGCCGTCCCCTAACTTCTCTCTAGTTAACTATTAGCAAGACTCACCCTCTTTATAGAATTATCATGGCTCAGACTCCCAGGGCTCCGTGCAGCGGTATTTAAAGTGGAGAGAGGATAAAGGCAGCTGTAAGGAGATCTGTGTCCTGGCAAGGGATGGGTGCAGAGTTTAAAATCGACTATAAAATAAAAAGTTAAATGAGTTCCCATTGGACTCAGAACCTCGAATGTCTGTTCCTACTTAGAAACAGTTGGGTTCTTTAGAAATCTGAGAAACAGAACTCTCCTCACATTCCTTGCCTTTCATAAAGATGTTTGCTATGAAATCTGGGCTTGATGCTGTTTATGGTATTTATTATTGGAATGTTTTTCAACCTAGGCATCACTTCCAGAGGACTGAGTGAAATACATTTGTGTGAACGTAACACCTCGTTTCGTTCATTGAAGACCTACTTTGTGCTAGGCACAGTGCAAGGTGCTGTCGTTGTCTGGAGGGCAGAACACACGTAGTGGCTACCCTGGGTGCTCAGTCCCAATGACTTGCTGATCTGAACGAGAATCCTGGACTTGGCTCTTCGTTTGGTTCTTTTTATGCTTGTGTACACTCTTTTTGTCTGCATATAATGTTTAGCATAGTGCCATAGATCTAAATGATTAAAAGTAACTTACTGCAAGATGGAGGGTGAGAATGAAGGAAATCCCGAACCAGGACACATTGAACCAACACGTAAAAGCGCTTGGATTTACAGTCGCGCGCAAGGAGTGAAGGGGACAGCGCAGCAGGTGGAGCCAAGTGCTGGGGGCAGGCTGGGAGCTTCACCGCCCCGGGCGCCTCCAAGGAAACCTGATTAAACAAAGGCTCTGGCCAATAGCCCTGTGGGATTAATGCGAGTGGCTGGCAGGTTGTCCAATGGGAGGAGACGTTGGAGTTGCGCGGTGAAGTTCGGCTTCCTGAGCCGCGGTGGGCGTGGTCATGGTAGGCTGCAAGCCAGGCTGGGGCAGTTGTGGGTGACTGGGTCGCTCTGGTTCGGTGGTTGCTGTCGCGATGTTCTTCTCCGAGGCTGTGGCCAGGTCGCGGACGTGGGAAACCAGTCCCTCGGAACACAGGATGTGGGTTAAAGTAGGTGTCCAGAGGGCGACTGAGTCTCGGACGTCAGCTTGGCCCGGGCCTCTTGCTGCTTCTTCCCTGCCGGTCTCACTCTGCCCAGTTGTACAGACCAGACCTGGGCTGCCCGTCCAAAGGGTCGTGGTTACGGAGCTACAGGGCTCCTGGCTCCCGGTCCAGGACTACACGGCTACCTCCAACTTGCTTCTCTTTTCCCTCTACATAGTCTATTAATGGTAATCTCGAATCTTCATCTCTCCTCCCGCCTTTCAAAACCAGCGCCTTTGCCTCACCTTCCTAACTCCAGAACTGAATTTTAGGTAGAATTTATCTCAGTGGTCTAAATGAATGGACTTGCGTCAGCCTGGCGGTTAACTCGTTTGCACTTTCTTGAGGGAAATTTCAGCCCATCTTTAAGATTTCTTGAGAGTTAATATTGGCACAAGGAAATTCCGTTTTCAAACTCTATGGCTGGGCCAAGTTTTAGATTTTCGAGGTCCAAACTATATAATCAACTAGTAATAAAAGTAAGAAACCGTTTCTGTCTCATTAACTAAAGCTATTCAATGTTCTTCAGGTATTTAAAGCATGTGATGAAGATCACAAAGGATATCTCAGCAGAGAGGACTTTAAAGTTGCTGTTGTAATGCTGTTTGGGTATAAGCCCTCCAAGGTAGAGCTTTCTTATATATTTGGGATGGGGTAGACGATCGATGGTGAATGGATCCTAAGAAAAGTTCACGGGGCTAGCGTAGGATGTTTATAAAGTCAATCGCTGCTTTATAAGCAATTTCAGAGATATTTCCAGTGCCGAATTTTAGTTTCCTCTTAACATCTCAACCCAGAGATGAAGCAGAAGTCTATATACCACTGGAGCCTACACAGGCCTATCTCACCACCAGGCTGCTAATAACTAATAAATACAAGATGCTAGAGAGGTGCCAAGAGGCAAGGCTGAGGGGGGAAGTGTGGGTAACAGAAGAAATTTACATAGAACATGTCACAGAGTCTCTTAAGCTTTACTTTTGTTGTTTTGTTTGTAAAATATATCCACAGTCAATAAATTAAAACAGTGCAGAAAGGTATAAAGTTGAACATGAAATCCCCTCCCTGCCTACAAGAGGGTCCCATTTGTAGGGGATTACCATTATTAACGGTTTTTTGTGTAGTTGTGAAATTTTCTATCCATGACAAACATGAATGCATAATATTTTATTGAAAACATAAATGGGTAAATATTGTGCCTACTTTAACTTGCTTTTCTCATTTAACAGTGTATCAACCTAAAAGCATGTACCTTAACACATTTTAAAATATAGTTGCATATTCTGTTTACCCAGGTTCCTGTCTCAGGTTATTTAGTTTTTTTTTTTTATTATTATTCCTACAAACATTGCTGCAATGATACACATATTTATGTCCTTGTGGCTGCATATCTGTGGAGTAAGTTCCTCGAAGTATAATTGCTGGGCCATGGGATGCATACATTTAGAATTCTGATATTGCTCTCCAGAAAAGGTTGCACCAATTCACCAATAATGAGAATTGAGCTGAGCCTCCATGAACCTCCTACTTCAGTAGGACAAGTTTTCTGTTCACCCTGTCTTTACGCTTTTCTGCTCTCCTGCTACATGTATTCTAGAGAAAGTGCCCTTCTTGTTAAGCTGGAATTAGAGTCAAGATATTGTCTAGATTCAAGAAACTGAACTGCAACCATCAGGCAAAGGGAGCACTCAGGGCCTAGCCTGGAATGCCAACCCTCACTCTCATTAGACTGGACAGCTTGGCGATTAATTCTGGCCCAGCTGTTCCTCATGAGTGGGCTCTACCTTTCTGCCAGATTGAAAGCCCAGTAAAGCCAGGGACCCTGTGATGTCATGCTTCCCTACCCTATTTGTGTCAACAGAACAAATGTACTGTGAAGTTGTGATGCACAGTAAATCTTAATATATTCTCTTGACCCAGGTCGGTTGAACAACCCAGGTGGGCTCAGAGTGGCTCAACTATGAGGGGATGCTTAGTTACTGTGAAGCTTATTATGGAGCTCAAAGAAGCAGTCAGGGCTGACTCTTACAAATTGCAGCTCTCCTGTTAACCTGCAATCATTTCAGCTGGAAGCAGGTCAGCTAAATAGAATCAGTCTGTGAAGCATTGTATTTAACTTGGATTCACCTGAAATGATAACTTGTCTCATTTTGTCTTTATCACCCTTGAGTCTATATGGTTTCAGTTTTAGAATGAGGAATTTAATGACAGTTACAGTGATGTAACTTATTGTACCTATGCTCCATGAAATTTAACAGATTTTACTTTTCATACTGGGGTGAAGTTTTCTATTTTATTTTTTAAGCAAATGAACTATTTACTAACCACAGGTCACTAATCAGTATTTATTTATAGTATATCACCTAAATGCTTTGTCATTTGTACAATGAAATTTTCTTACACAAGTGATAATGTGTAATTTCCGTGAAATTCAACAGATTTTTATACTAGTTTGAGGTTTGGGGTTAATTTTTGAATATCGCTTTTGAGCACATGAAATATTTGCTGACTGCTGATCATGAAGAAGTAAAATGCTTACATAATAAATCACTTATACATTCATGTAGTTGTTTACATAATGAAATTTATTTATTTATTATTTGAGATAGAGTCTTGCTCTGTCACCCAGGCTGGAGTGCAATGGCGGGATCTAGGCTCACTGCAGCCTCCACCTTCCAGGTTCAAGCAATTCTGCCTCAGCCTCCTGAGTAGCTGGGACTACAGATGCACGCCACCACACCTGGTTATTATTATTATTATTATTATTATTTGTATTTTTAGTATAGTCGGGGTTTCACCATGTTGGCCAGGCTGGTCTCCAACTCCTGACCTCAAGTGATCCACCCACGTCAGCCTCCCAAAGTGCTAGGATTACAGGCGTGAGCCACCATGCCCACCCATACATAGTGAAATTTATTAAGTGTTCCTCTTTAATAAAAGGAACACTTGCTAGTTGCTAGTGATATAAAGATGAATGAAGCACAGTCTCTACTTCAAAGCAGTTGAGTTTAATGTGGAGAGACATACAACTGTGTCAGATGCCAAGAAAGAGAAGAGATTGAAAAACAAAGTGAAGGGAACAAAGAAGCAAGGTCTAATTCTAGTAGAGACTAATAACAGTCCGGGTGGTCATTTAGACTAGAGAAGATAGACTACTCTGATAAGTATCTAGGAGCACTTTGTGAGTGGTGGGACAAGTTAGGCCTGGATGATTGACTGGATGCAGTGGTGGTAAGAGTGACATGACCACCAGCAGTGAAGGGATGGCGATGCCACCAACTAAGAGAAAATTTAAGAGTAGATTCAGAGGAAGTTAGTGAGTTTCGATTGGAATACATTGAGTTTGAGGCAGCTATGGGCATTCCAGGTGCATTTACTTGTTAAATACTGTGCTGGCTAATCAGGTTATGTTGGTGAGAATCTGCTGTTAGATCTGCCTCCCTGAGATGTAGGAATCTGAAATTAGGTGGAGAGGGTAGGGCTGGAGATAGTCTTGGGGCCCCTTGGTTTCCAGGTGGCTGCTCAAAACATGAGGCTGGATGGCATTGCCCAAGAAGAGTATGCAGAACAAGAAGAGTCATGGTCTGAGGATAGAACGTCAGGAAATACCAACATTTAAGGGGAGGCAGGGGACTTGAAGAAAATGGCATGGGAATCATTTGGCAGGGACAAGAGGAACCAGGAAAATGCAGGGGATCCAAGACTGGCAAGAGTTTGAGACTAGAAGTGGAGAAATTATGTCAGATGCCACCAAGGCTCTAATACTCCCATGTTTATAATGCCCTGGTAACATCGTGGTAAAGGGCTTCTATTTTAACATTTAATGAAAGCAGGTACTCATGCTTTCTATACAGTGTTTAAAGTCTCAAATGTTTAAAAATGCATAGAGGAGAAAAGCTGATTACTCTAAAATAACAGTGGTTTTCATTGGATGGCTGATTTTTCAATTTTCTTCATAATTTTTTGTGTTTTCTACATCAATTATGTGGTACTTTTATAATCAGGAAAAAAAATTTTAAATAGAGCCACCAAGCCCATTATAACAATTGTTTGTATTTGTCTAAAGTAGAAAGGCTGCCTGTTAGATTATATTATATATGGGACAACCAAATTGATTTTCTGTGCTTAAACTCTTTTGGTCAATGGAATAAAGTTTTGGGGGCCATTAGAGGCTAGCAGATTAGTGTCTGCTATTTTATAGATGTTGATGGAAAAGCAAAATGACTGTTATAGCTGTTGTGTATCATCACTTGTCTGCTTGGTTCAACAAACTTGGTTTCTCTTAAAAATAGATCCTTATTCCCACACAGAGATTTAAGAACTTGTGCTGTGAAAACATTTGATAAAATTACATGTTCTGTTATTTTTTCCTCTTTTCTAGATAGAAGTGGATTCTGTGATGTCTTCAATAAATCCAAATACTTCTGGTAATATGAAAGTTAATGTTCATTTTTAGTACCTTATTTAGACACTGATATGGCTTGGCTGTTTCCCCATTCCAATCTCATCTTGAATTCCCATGTGTTGTGGGAGGGACCTGGTGGAAAGCAATCGCATCATGGGGGTGGGTTTTTCCCATGCTGTTCTTGTGATACCGAATACGTTTCATGAGATCTGATGGCGTTATAAGTGGGGGGGGGGGCGGGGGGTTCCCTGCGTAAGCACTCTCTCTGCCGGCTGCCATCCATGTAAGATGTGACTTGCTTTTCCTTGCCTTCTACCATGATTGTGAGGCTTCCCCAGCCAGTGGAACTGAAGTCTGTTAAACCTTTTTCTTTTGTAAATTGCCCAGCCTCGGATATGTCTTTATCAGTAGCATGAAAATGGAACAATACAGACACTCACAAAATGACAATTAAAAACAGAAACTGTATAGCATTATATTTAAGCACATCTTTGTTTTGTTTTTCATCCAAAGGAAAGGTTTTGGTTGTTTTTTTTTTAATTTTTAATTTTTGTAGGTGTATATATATATATATATATAGAGAGAGAGAGAGAGAGAGAGAAAGAAAGAGAGAGAGAGAGAGAGAGAGGGGCAGTACATGACATGTTTTGATATAGGCATGTAATGTGTAATAATCACATCATGGGAAATGAGATAACTATTCCCTTGAACATTTATCCTTTGTGTTACAAACCAGTTACACTCTTTAGTTATTTTAAAATGTATGACTATTTTGACTATAGTCACCCTGTTGTGCTATCAAATACTGGTATTAATAATCAAATCATGGAGAATGGAGTATCCATCCTATCAGGCATTTATCTTTCATGTTATCGAGAATCCAATTATACTCTTTTGGTTATTTTTTAATGTACAAATAAGTTATTATAGTTACCATTGCTGTACTATCAAATACTAGGTCTTATTCCTTTTTTTTTTTTTTTTTTTCATCCATTAACCATCCACACCTCTCCCCAACATTCCTACTACCCTTCCCTGCCTCTGGTAACCATCCTTCTACTTTTATGTCCATGAGTGCAGTTGTCTTGATTTTTAGATCCCGTAAGTGAGAACACGCAGTGTTTGACTTCTGTGCCTTATTTCACTTAACATAATGACCTCCCATTTCCATCTATGTTGCTGCAAATGACAGGATCTATTTCTTTTTTATTGCTGAATAGTACTCCATTGAGTATATGTACCACATTTTCTTTATCCATTCATCTGTTGATGGACACCAAGGCTTCCAAATCTTTCCTATTGTGAACAGTGCCGCAACAAACAGTAATGGAGAGTAGAGATATCTCTTCTATATGCTAATTTCCTTTCTTTTGGTTATATACTCAGCAGTGGGATTACTGGATTATATGGTATCTCTTTTTTTTAGTTTTTTGAGGAATCTCCAAGTGGTTCTCCATAGTGATTGTACTAATTTGCATGCCCACCAGCAGTTTATGAGGACTCTCTCTTCTCCACATCCTTGCCAGCATTTGTTATTGCCTGTCTTTTGGATAAAAGCCATTTTAACTGGGGTGTGATGATGATATTGTAGTTTTGATTGCATTTCTCTGATCAGTGATACTGAGTGCCTTTTCATATGCCTGTTTGCCATTTGTATGTCTTCTTTAAATTTTGGTTATTTATAAATAGGCTTATCACAGGGAAATTTTAAACTGTTGAAGTGCATAAAGAAAAAATATCACTCATAATTCTAACATTCAGAAAATGATACGAGGTTTTCTGACTTGTGCAGCTGGATGAATGGACATGGCACCTACTGAAAAGGGAAGATGGCAGGCAGGTGTGGGGGGGTGGGGATGGAGGTGGGGGCAGGCAATACTTGAGGGTCAGGGAGACTGAGTTCAATTTTGAATATGTTTGAGAAGTGTCAGCCTACTATGTCAAAGCAGTCGGACTGTGTGAATTCAGAAGTAAGTTCTGGGCTGAAGATATGTGGGAGTCATCAATCTGTAGATAGATTTTAAAATCATGAGAATGGATGAGAACACCTAGAGAGAGAGAGTAGACTGAAAATGTTAAGAACTCTAGCCAGCGGAAGTCAGATGGAAGATGAAGAAATGGTGAAGGAGACTTAGGAGTGACAGAGGGGCAAGAGGAAAATCGAGTGTTTGATCAGAAGCCAAGAGAAGTAGATATTTTAATGAGGAAGGTATGGTCAGCACTATCAAATGGTCCTGAGTGGTGAGGTAGCCTGATGAGTATACTTTGCCACCTGGAGGTGTTTGGTGACTTTAGCAAGAGGTGTTTCAAAGTGTGGTGAGGGCAGAGTGGGTTGAAGGTAAGTGGAAAGTGATGATAAAGTGTGACAATGTGAGTAGATGAGTCTTTAATTATGTCCAGAGTGGCTGTGGATCAAGAGACGTTTTGTTTGCTTATTATTATTACTATTTAAATGGAAGAATGTTTTTCCAAGCTTAGCGGAATGATCTAGTGAAGAGGAGGAAAGAAGATTAGAAAGAGGGAGGGAAAGAGACCTATTGCATAAGGTAATAGGATCCAGAGCGTGTTGGATTAGCTTTTTCAAGATTGCCTTTTCCTGAATAATTTAAAGCTTATAAAAGTTCAAAATAAAATAGTATAGAGAATAGCTTACTCTCTGTATAAGGTATACCTTTTACCTGGATTGACATTGTTAACATTTTACCCCATCTTCCTTCTCCTTTGCACTTTCTGCCACCATGCCCTTCTCTTCTGTACTGAACATAACTACAGTATGCTTGTCATGTTCATAAATTATATGTTGATAACTGTATTTCATCTGATTTACCATCTATATTTCAATTTTGTCAGTTAATCTAATAACATCTTTAATAGTATCCTTCCTTTTTTAGTATGTTAGAAAATTACACATGTATCTAGGAGAAAAAGACACATATGAATAGGAACAAAGATAAGAAGGATGGCAGGCGGCTGGTGGTGGTGACTATCACCTGTAGTCCCAGCACTTTGGGAGGCCGAGGCAGGAGGAATGCTAGATACCAGGATTTCAAAACCAGCCTGGTCAACATAGTATGAGACGCTGTCTCTACAAAAAAAAAAAAAAAAATTAGCAAGGCGTGATGGCACGTGCCTATAATCCTAGCTACCTGGGAGGCTGAGGCAGGAGGATCCCTTGAGCAGAGGAGTTTGAGGCTGCACTTAGCCATTATCATACCACCCCAGCCTGGGCAACAGAGTGAGATCTCATCTCTTAAAAAAAAAATTCAAAAGAAGGAAAAAAATGGGAACAAAAGATAGATGGAAAGAGACAAATAGAAAACAAGTAACAAGATGGTAGAATTAAATCCAATCATTAATGTTTTAGTTATGTAAATGATCTCAACATCCCCATTGAAAGGCAGATACTGTTATTAAATAACAGAAACTGTGTATTGCCTAGAAGCCCATTTTAAATATAAAGGCACAAAAAGATTAGAAATATATACTGTACTGAACACTAACCAAAGAATGCCAGAGTGAGCATATAAATATCAGATGAAGTAAACATCAGAAGAAGGAATATTACCAGGATAAAAAGAGTCAGTTTATTAAGGGAATTAAACATTTATGCCCCTGGCCAGGTGCCATGACTCAAGTCTATTAATTCTAGCACTTTGAGATGCCAAAGCAGGTGGATCACTTGAGGCCAGGAGTTTGAGACCAACCATGGTGAAACCCCATCTTTATGAAAAAAATACAAAAAATTAGCCAGATATGGTGGCACATGCTGGTAATCCCAGCTACTCAGGGGCCTGAGGCACAAGAATAATTTGAACCCAGAAGGTGGAGGCTGCTGTGAGCCCATATTGCACCATGGCACTCCAGCCTGGGTAACAGAGCAAGACTCTGTCTCAAAAAAAAAGAAAAGAAAAGAAAAGAAAAAATCCCCTAACAATGGAAATTCAAAGTACACGAAGCGAAAAACTAATAAAACTGTAAACAAAAATGGACAAAATGAATAAAGCAAATAGAAATAAAATCAATAAGGATATTGGAGACGTGAACAACATTGTCAACCAATGTGACCTAATTGTCATCTATAAAATGTTCTACCCAACAACAGCAGAATACACATTCTTTTCAAGTCTACAAAGTGTATTTAATATTGGTCATACTCTGGGCCATTAAACATATCCATACATTTAAAGTGCAAAGTATGTTCTTTGTGATGGAATTATATTAGAAATCAATAGCAGAGCTGCCTGAAAAAGTTCCCAGTAGTTGTTCCAAATAAAAGTTCCGAATAAATAGCACACTTCTAAATAACTCATAAGTCAAAGAAAAAAATCAAAAGAGATAAATGAGGAAGTATTTTGAATTGAATGAGAAGACCGCATTTCAAATGTTGTAAGATGGATTGAAAGCAGTACTTGGAAATAAGTAGCGCTCACTTTCTGTGTTTAGGAAAGAATAAAGGTCTCAACTGATGACCTCAGCTTCTACCTTTAATTAACTTGCACCTTTAACCACAAAAAAAAGAACGAATATGGCCCAAAATAAGTGGAGGAAAGGAAATAGGAAATATTGGAATGAAAATTGATGAAATTGAAAAGAGGACAAACAAAAAATTGAAAGCTGATTTTGTTGAGGTAGTCAGTAAAAATGAAAAACGATTACCTACACTGAGAAGGGGAAAAAGGACAGGGATTACCAACGTTGAGGTTTAAAATCTGCTACTCTTTATAGACAAGGTTTAGAATCGCATATGAAATACGACTTTCAAGATGATTGCTAGGAGAACATGTTCTTGATGTAATCCCTCACTTGATAGAATTGCTCCAGGTTTTAAATTTCTTGTTGAAAATTTTCACACTTTAAAAATATTCAAAGTAATGTTTGATGTTCCATTAGTTACAACTTCTTGATAAAGCCTTTTCTACATTTTTTTTTTCCTTAGGGTTTTTTGTGACTGTTCCAATCTACAGAGAGCTTTGTTTTCTGGCAAAAGGATTTTTCCACATTCTCTGCATTGATAGGATTTCT